CTTTAATGACAGAAGCAGAAAATGTGATTAACAGCCGCCCGCTCACTGTTGAAAACCTATCTGACCACGAGTCTCCGGAACCCTTAACTCCTAATCATCTACTAACTTCAAAGACAGAGGTTGTGCTGCCCCCACCTGGTTGTTTTGAACGGTTGGACTTATACTCAAGAAAGAGGTGGCGCCGTGTACAGTTCTTAGCCAATCAGTTTTGGATAAGGTGGCGCTCAGAATATTCCTCACAGTTTCAGCAGAGACGAAGATGGAATACACCCCAACGGGACAATAGAGTAGGAGATATAGTCCTACTTCAGGACGACGACTTGCCAAGAAACCAGTGGCCGCTTGCACGTGTGACTAAGGTCTTCCCTAGCAAAGACGGTCGTATTCGCAAGGTCCAACTCCTATTAACACGAGAAGAAAGACGGAAGATTTTGGAACGACCAATCCACAAAACGATTTTGTTACTTGCTCAAGATGCCGCAGACCAGGATGTCATCCCCGCCCGAGGAGCCAGTATCAAGGACAATTAGATTTCCATTTAGGGGAGCCGTGTAGCAGCACCCGTGTTCCGCCCTTTTTTACGCCATGTATGCGTCGCGGATTTCTGCTCATGCGCGCTTGTTTTGTTATGTTATCGAGCACGCGGTCCGATGCTAGAGCCCGGAAAGGCGTAAGTTTTTACCTTTCTGCTTGCCGTTTTCAAGTTTTTCTGTATACCAACTGTACATCCTATATCTAGTTTGACAGATTCACTTCTTTAGCGATTTGGAGATGTATTACGCGTGTGGATTTGTGATTAAAGCTATGATAATCTAATCAAGTCAAATGGGTGTTTTGGATTTCGGACCCGCGCTGGCATACGAGGCAATCACAAGCTTTTATTAAAGTGTCAGTTAGAAAGTACTTCTCCTGTTGCTAGTCTCCTGTTGCTAGGCTAGAAGTTTACTTCTTTTTCGAACTGGCGGACGGCGCGTCCCATACAGTTCGATATAACATTTTCTACCTTTTGCTAGTTTAAAACTAACTTCTTTTTTGAACTGGCGGACGGCACGTCCCATACAGTTACATGAAGCATTTTCTACTCCTGTTGCTAGTCTAAAACTAACTTCTTTTTCGAACTGGCGGACGGCGCGTCTCATACAGTTTGATGTAACATATCCTAATTCTGTTTCTGGTTTAAAACTAACTTCCTTTTTCAAACTGGCGAACGGTGCGTCCCATACAGTTCGATGTAACATGTTCTACTCATGTTGCTAGTTTATACTAACTCCTTTTTATTTTCTTACTTGTGGAAACTGGCGCGTCAGGATTTTTAACATATCAATACTGACTCGTGCGATTTTCGGTTTTCATGGAACAATAATAAATAGGTGAGCGCAATAGAGTCTTTTACATTTTACGTATAAACAATGATGAAAGTGAAATTTTGATTTCACGAGTAGCGGGTGTTTTAGGTTTTATGCATCAGTAGCCCTTCGCGAAGGGTTGGAAGAGAACAGTGCACTTTGCAAACAGTTTAAGAGAGTGTGTTCAAAATCGAATACAGTTAATTAAGGGTAGTTAGATTATAACTGCTCGTTAGAGCTGAAATATAAAAGGTTAATACAAGGTTTCACGCCGGTATAGATGTGCGGCCTGTCAACCCTTGCATTTTCTCATGCAAATGCAGTGCCCTGCTGTGCCAGTGAAACCGCTCGAAAATAACGCATTTGAATTTTGTACAGTACACAAATGCACACGCAAGAAGTCTTGCACGAAATTAACAAAAAACTATACAACTTCTTGCCTCAGATGTTTGAAGAACAACTAAACCTAATATATATTACCACGGTATGCCTTACAATAAGACATTGCAAGACTTCGATTTTTCATATTACACAACCCAAGCTTTTGGACAAAATGGATAGACCTACAGCAACCTGATTGGCTAGCAAGGAGCCAATCATACTGCACCACTTTCGATCCTACAAACAAATCAAGGTTGGTATTTAATACCCCTAGGAAATCTAGCAATACAGAATGGTTCAGAGTTAACCTCAACCTTCCAACTACATAGCAACTGATGAGAATCGTAAGATTCGAAACCGCCGGTCTTGCTTGTAAAACCGGGGGGGAAGGTGTCTCCAAGGAAATCTGTGGTACAGTCCGCCTGCCAGTATGACGTCACGTCTCGCGTCAGTGACTTTCAAAATGGCAAGCAAAGTGTTCATCGAAGAGACGGATAAAAATTTCGATGTTATCACGGAAATACCGTTCCGATTTCTTGGATTTGGAGATTTTAAGATCCCTATTGTCACAGAAAACAAGACTTTGGTACTTTTTGGGAATGAAACGTCCAGTGGTGTAAGGAATTCAATTTCGCCAGTTGGGTGTAGATTAGTACAGGTTGTGGTGTACCGTGTGTTGTTTGTCACGATGTCAACTGAGCTGTTTCAGAGGAGGGACATGTTTTGACAGCTCGTGTTTTTTTTTTGTGGCCGTAAGCTTGGCCAAGGTGCAGATCAGGAGCTCTTGACATCCCTTTTCCAAAAAGCTTAAAATATGTTGATCCAAGTGCATGATCATGATCGTTTCGCATCTTTGCAGTTTGGTGTCACTGATCTCAGACTCTCAAAATTCTCTGTACGTGCCATACATGTATTCTGATTTAATTTCTATTGCCATGTTTGGTCAAACCAAACCAATTAGACATGATTGTATTGTTTTGCAAAAGGCATTTACTCTTCATTTTCAGACATACTGCGCTTGATCTTGAAAAAAATGTTTCTTAACCGTCTGACAGATTAAAATCACTTTCAAAGTCTTCTTCACTATCACTAGAAGGCATTTCTGTACACAACTGAACTTGAACAGTTGAATGCTCATGCATGGTTCTATCTTCTTTACTTTCACGTCTCACTGTAGATTTCAGTTTTTTGGTTGCATTATGCGGTTTACTCACTTTGCATTATGCGGTTTACTTTCATCGGTTTTACGTTTTTCGTCTGGGTTTTACATGTCTTTCATGCATGTAACTCATTTATGTTTCATCGATTTCTTTTTTAAGTCAAGCTGTTTAGTTCCTGGAGTGTTTCTGCTTCATTTTCTTGTGTTTTGTTTGAGGTTAACCATAGAGTCATTTACAAAAGCTACATGTTGCTAAGGAACAAAACTCATTTAGTTTTGAGATATTTATCATGATGGTTAGGAGTAGATTTAGAATTTTTTTGTTCAGGAGCCTCATTAGAGCATGGGTAGTTCTCAGAAATGCAAACACAATCAGGTACAAACGTTATAGGCAATATTCTCCAGTTAAAATGAGTGGCTAAAGTGTTTCAACAAAAGTAACAGTTCATTTTAGGTCTACTATTTTCTTGTTTGATTTTTTTGATATTTAGAAGGGATATTTTGAAAAAAAAGTGTTGAAGAATAGCCATGATGTTTGTACGGCTAGCCTTGTTGTCTCTTAGCATCAGCAAGTTTTTGTGCACTTCAATTATTTGTTTTACTACTAGATTATCATTTGAACAGTTGGGTCGGTTAAACGCGACTCCACTGGTAAATGTGCTTTGTGTTGCAACTCTTTCAAACATTAAAAGATACAAACTGTCTTTTTCAAGAAATAATTGTTTTGGTCCAACAAAGCTTCCTCTACCGCTGTTCCATAGACCATTGTAAACATACCTACCCTCTTTGTAACCTTTTTGGGTAGAATATACTTCACACCAGTAGTGATGCGATTTAAGATACACAATGCCAGACAATTTATACATACAGCTATTAATAAGAAGTGAGTTGTTTTCCTTGTCTAAGTTGGCTGTGTACCCTATTGTAGAATTACTTATGTACCCAACAAAATATCAAATTCTGTGGAGTCTCCAAAGAGATGTTCGTCTAATACATCATAAGTGCTGACTGGGAACACATTATGTCTGAAGGTGCGGAATGAGTCATGGCTATGGTAATTATATACTACATGATTGCGAATAATGTGTTTTGAGTGAAAATTTTAGTTGAAGAACTTCAGGCATAGATTCAAGAAGTCTGTATATGATCGAATCAAGAGAAGCTTCTTTGCCAAAGGCATAATAAGTATGACCATTTGATGTTTCGTCCCTTAGCCACTTCCACAATGTCATTTTACTTTCATGAAATTTTCCATTTTCCCTTAATACAAAGGAATCAAATACAGTGGAACCCCGTTAATGCGACCACCGTTGGGCCATAAAATCCTGGTCGTAATAACGAGGTGGTCGCATTAACGGGGTCTTCAAAATAATAAAATGACTCAATGGTTTTTACGTTTGGTTTGAAAGAATATGGCCGTAATAACGAGGTGGTCTTATAAACGGGGTGGTCGTAAGGCGGGGTTCCACTGTACAGTGGAACCCCGTTAATGCGACCACCGTTGGGCCATAAAATCCTGGTCGTAATAACGAGGTGGTCGCATTAACGGGGTCTTCAAAATAATAAAATGACTCAATGGTTTTTACGTTTGGTTTGAAAGAATATGGCCGTAATAACGAGGTGGTCTTATAAACGGGGTGGTCGTAAGGCGGGGTTCCACTGTAAAGAAGTAAGGCCCGCCCTGTGAAATATTTACATCAGGAGAAAGAAAATGACGCTTGAAACTGTGATAGGTCATTTCAAGGAAACTGTCTTGATGACAGCTACTCCATTAGAGCCATACTTATAAGATTGAGAAGATGTTTGTTGTACTACACCTGGGGACCTATTTAACCTCTTTCTGCGTACCTCGCAAGGGTTGAGTTTGCATCTCAAATTCTTCATCTTTACAACCCTGACATTTTCGAGAAATGCATTTTTTCTGGACTGGTTTGTCTATCGTCTCAAACCTCTTCAAATCACCATGGAACAAAACATTTGGGGTAGTAAGAGAGTTAGATATAAAACTAATACAGGGACTTTTTGTGGCAATTTCCTTACTTTGTTGTTTGAGACCAAATACATCTTCATGCCATGTAGGTTGTACCTCATTCAAGGCAAGATTCCAAAATTTACTAGCAATTCCATGTATCCATGTACTTGTCATCTCTCTTAACAAGAAATACTTTAGTGTCAATTGAAGTCCAAACAACATAGTGACATTCTTGAGTGGATGTACAAAACATTTCCAACATAATTTGAGGAATATGGTTTATGCACACATTTTTGTAAGGAATCGGTTTGCCTCCCATGAAAGGACGTTTCATTTCAAGAACTCTTTCCCTTTTGCCATTTAAATCTATTATGCCATCTGTTGAAGAACCAAGCCATGACTGATTTTTGTCATCACTTAAAAGCCAAATACCAGTTTCTCTTAAGACTAAATCATCTTTATTTTCGGCTAAAAATTTATTTAGGTAAGTGACAATAGCACTGTTTTCATTTATAGAACCCCATAACATTGCCAGATTTGATTCATTTTCTTCTTTGGTTGGAACACCTGCATGTAAATCATCACTCAAATCACTCCAGTAATCACTCATTGCCTTTTTTCCATACCAACCAAGAGCTGTTGCTGCTTTGCTTCCATTGATTTTCCCCTTACGAACATTGAACCACTCAGCAGTTTTTTGTTTGTAAAATGTTGGGTCACTGTGATTTGAAGTCTTGGAAGATAGTGACTTGTAGCATTTGAAATCACTGGTGCTCTTCACAGAAAGATTACCAAGCAATTTTATGAGTGATGTGCTATTCTGGTACCATGAAGGTTTTACAGCTGGGGGCTTATTTTCCTCAAGTTTTGTTTTAAAATGATCATCTTTTTAAATTTTGTTTGGACAGGCTTCTTTTAGGTGGCCCTTTTTTCCACATAAAAAGCAGTATTGATTAGCCAGCCACTCTAGTTCGTGTCCTTCAGGGCATTCATTTGCCCAGTAACCTTGTTTTTCACACCGAAAACAAATATCACCTGATTGTGCTTTTGATGTTGTGTTTGAATAAGCTTTGTGGTTGAACTTCTGTAGCTTTTGCCGCACAGCAGATGCATCCTCTTCATGCTTTGGTACAAGGCCATCTCTAGCTAAATAGGTTACACACCTTCTTTTTGTAAATTTTCTTACAAAAGGAGAAAGAACCTGACTTGAGAGCTTAATTTTCGATCCTGGAGTTAAGATATTTTGTAATAATTTTTTCCAAAAAAAAAGAAAGTGTTCTGTCAACCTTGAGTTGATTGATGGCTTCTGGAAGGGAATTGTTAGACCAATTTCCTGTAAAAACTTAGTACGCGGTAGTCAAGTTTCCTTGAAAGAGTAATACATGTTGATGGTTCTTATTTGCATTTAAGGCTGTCAAAATAGGTTGGCATGTTTGTAGGATGGTAGCAGATGAGAAAAGATCAATATATGTTCAACAGTTTGCTTGACATGTCGAGATAGTTGTTGCTTGTCAGCAGCATCATGGAAGGTTTTATCAAAGTCCCATGTGCCTTCAGCTACACAAGCAGGCGTCATCTGGTCATCATAGCCTGATTCCCATCCCTCTCAAATTGTCAGGGGCTGTTTGTTTTGGTTTAATCAGGGGAATAGAAACCAGATTAGGAAGGGCTGTCATATCATATGAACCGCATGTTCCTTGTGTATCTGTCATTTCAGCAGATAGAAGAAGTTCAGTTTCCAGAGAAGCTGATGACTCAAAGAACTGTAACGTTGTTGGTTTTCCTTCGGATACCCTTGCTTGCTGTAAAGAGAAATAATTTTCAACATCATCCTGACACATGGTCTTTGGAATGAGGTGTAATTCTGGATGATGCATTTGAACATACTGAACTACCCCCAGAAAAGCTCTGATACTTCTCTTTAGGTCATCAAATGTGATCCTTGGTATAAATTTTTTTCCAGTGGTTTTTTAGACCATTGGTTGACCTTGAACTTTCTTGTTTGGTCTCTTTAGACCATTCATCAAACCAGAGCATTATTTTTAACAGTTCTTTTTAACACTTTGGATCAACCTCCAATTTGTTGTTAAATATTGTAAACAGTTTGTTGCACTTCTTTATGTAGGTGCGTGTCGCAACTGTTTCTTCAGGAGGTAAAAGTCCCTTGAGGATGTCTAATGCTACATCTTCTTTTTTTTTCTTTTCTTGTTCCTTTCTTTTTTCTTTATTTTTTTTGCACAAGCACTTCTACATCTATACCAATAAACTACTACTACAAGTACACAAAATACACTTCCTACTATACATAAATAATGGCTGATACAAAGACTGTTTAGGTACAATTACTACTATAAAAAAGGATATAAGTTTTTTTGCATCTTAATTCTCACTACCACGGCAGAGTAGAATAACTGAAACTTTTCCCATTTACTTTCCTGATCGGCAACTTTGTTATTTGAATTCATAAGTTTCTTTTCTAACTGATGAACATAACTGACTTTGTTTAAAGAAATTGTAAAGGAAGGATAAATAAATGTTAAGAAATCTAATTTTATCATATTCAGACCGAGACAAAACAGGCAAACACTTGATCTAGCTTTTAATATTAGTAATTATTCGATTGATCGTGTTAAGGAAGCTACTTTTCTTGGTGTAATTTTGGATGAACATTTAACATGGAAATCACATATACATAATGTTGCTCGGAAAGTGTCTAAAGCAATAGGTATAATTTATAAATCAAGTTTTTGCCTCAATAATTCCTCCTTACAAATGCTTTATTTTAGCCTTATCTACCCATACTTATTCCACTGCGTGAGCGTCTGGGCATCGACCTACCCATCAAACCTCAGAAGATTAATCACACTTCAAAAACGGGTCGTAAGAATAATGTCGAGGAGTGCTTTCGATGCTCACACTGGCCCCTTATTTAAAAATTTAAAAATTCTGAATCTCGAGAGTATCTACAAACTTCAAATAGGAAAATTTATGTACCAATACAGATCTGGCTTACTTCCTTATAGCTTCAATAACATGTTTTTGGTGACACGCCAGGTCCATTCTTACGGCACTAGAAGTTCGGAGCATTTTTATTTACCACAATGCAGGACTAGTATAAGAAAGTTCTCCATCAGTTTCCAAGGTCCTAAATTTTTTAATTCTCTTAGTTTTGAAATTCGAAATGCAACAAGTAACAGTTCCTTTTGCTGTAAGCTGAAAGCATTCCTCTTATCATAAATAGTAATTTATATATATATATGTTTTTTTTTCTTCCTTTGCTCTTTTATTTTCTTTTTGTTCTTTTTTCTTTTTGTCATTTCGCTTTTTTTAGCCTAGAACTAAGATTAGTACGACTATCTAATATACTTATTTTAAGATTTACTGTAGCTCTGCCATTGATTTTCCCATGTGTAATTATGATAATATTTTGTTCTAATTATCTAACTGAGGGAGCCCATTCCTTATAAGCCCGGTGGCTTCTCTTGGGCTTCCTCACTATGAGAGTTTAAGTAATTAGATTTTATTTGATTTGTACAATTTTTGGCAAACAAAACAATTAACAAATAATAATAAACGCATACACGCTTCGACATACAAATATAGCCAGTGTGAAAACAAATTGGTTTGGATGGCTTGGAAAATCAACGATGAAAGTCTTTTTCTAAAGTGATTATGTTTTATCCAGGGGAAAGGCGTGGATGATGTACACTGAACAAACAAACTTTGAAACGTTGCTAACCACTGCATCCTATAATTGCAGAAACAAGGGTTTCTACGGAGCCTTGTTTGATCTCACCGGCTGTTATTGCACCTGCCAATACATACAAGCCATTCAGATCTGATTTTTTTGTTACATCATCATTAGCTATTAATAAAAATAGACCAACCTTTTATTTTTGTAACATACTACGCAACATAAATATTTTGGTGGCGGAAAGCGTTCCCTAGAGTCTTAAAGTATCGATAACCGTGATACTATGTCTGTGATAAATGTGCATATTTGGAAGTTGCTGTACTGTCACGTATTAACAAATCATTTAACAATTACGATATCCTCATTCGTGTCCGGAGTTATTTGAGATAACTAATTGAGAGAGTAGATACCACAAAAGTATCTCGTGAATATGAGAGGAATTTTTCGTTCTTGTTAGTCAACGTTTCTTTAGACTATTTTTATGACAGAAACGTGTCACTGTGTGTTTCGCATCATATGTTATCATTATTATTATTATTATTATTATTATTATTATTATTATTATTAGATTAGCTTTGATTTCACTAGGGAAGGGAACTTCAAATAGAAATAATAGATAAATAGACCGATTGACAAGACTATATCTCCACTCTCCAGGGGGTGAAACCCGTATAAAAGAGACAGGAATACTAGACGGTAAATTAGAAATACAGTTGAACCCCTCCGCAATGGCCACCTTGGGATCAGGAGAAATTGGCCGTTTTATTAAGGTTTAAACAAGAGTCAATGTATCAACTGTCTGCCGGAAAAAAGTGGCCGTTGTAGAGAGGTGGTCGTTGTTGTGGAGAGGTGGCTGTAAGTGGAGGTTCTACTATAAACACCTAAGAAAGGTTAATCTGCGTGCGCGTGGCTCATGCTTTCTTTGAACCCTATACGATACCTTGCTAAAACAGGCAATAAGTCACTGACGCCAAATAAGAGCCATATTGACTTGAACTAACTGAAAATGAGTCAGTGCTGTCCTTAACACAGCATAAAAGTAATATCTCTATAGGAGAAAATAACGAATTAATAAGTTTTTCGTTCTGAAAACCCTCAATGAGACCAAATTCTGCAATTAATACCCCAAAGCGAGACTATAAAGAGCACCCCTTTCTGGGTCACATGGGAGTTCTTCCCCCACCCCCGGACTAAATTATGTCGTAAGAATTCAGTCTTTTCCACAGATATGAGTGATATCAATCAAAAACTCAGTCATCACTGACGTCACTGGAGCCTAGTGCTCAACCCAGTTCTTTTAATGTGCTCTTCGTCATGACCAATAGTACAAGGCTGTTTTAAATGTTTCTATAAAAGGGGAATTTTTCTATATAAAACACTTCAATCTATGAAAAGGATGTGGGTTTTTTCCAAGTTATGAGAGAGTTTGAAAGCCACTCGTGTTCAAAATACCGAATTCCGTAACGCCCCTGTTAATCGCCCAAAAGTTAGGGAAATCGTAAATAAACACCCTAAGTACTCTCGGAAATAGCGGCTCTTGGGAATCCATTTTTATGAACTAATTAATCTTTCTATAAAAAAGCGATGGTTGCGCTGCATCGACAGTGAAAAGTTCTGACTGACAAGGAGAATCGTCAAAAGCTGGAGAGAGATCAGAGAGATCTACAAAAGAGGCAAATTAGAGAAGCAGTGAAGAAGTTAGCAATGAAGGTAAAGTATTCTTTCATTGTCGTAGACCTTGTGTCAAGTTTATCTATTTCTATAACGTTTCAAATATAAATATTTTTATCTTTAAAAATGTGGTTCAAAGGTCGTGCGAAAATTTAGCTAGTTTTTAGTTTGACGTTTAGTACGATTTTACCGGTGAGTTATATCTTGATAAAAGTCACTAAACGGCCTTTTTATCTCTTAGAGGACATTATCATCAACTGCCACCTTCCTTCTGTGCTTCGTTGTGATGTTCAGTAACTATAATGACATCAATGCTTACATCATCAGAGGTGTCCATAGATGCTTCGAAGTATGTGAGAATAAATTCTGGGACTGTTTAGCATTCTGCAACATGGAGAGCACAGAATTCTGTGAGCGAAGATGCGAAGGAATGTTCTACTATTGCGCTTCGGATTGCCCGCTGTACTAATTCGTGTACCCCTGAAGCCACTGTTATAAAGACCAATGAATATTTGGGGCGATGAAGAGACAGTAAAGCGAAGACTCACCTTCCATCGTGTTTTTCTGGTTCAAGGTTTGGGTCGTTTAGCCATACCTCATTATGCCATATTATTTAACTGAGAACAACGAAGTTATTCCAATGCCACGGATTAAAATGAATCAATATATTCATTTATCAGTGAATTCTGTATTCTGCAGTTACTCAACCGAATGGTCGTAACTGACTAATGTAATGAATTAATCAATTGATTCAAAGCAATCGTTGTTAAATAAAACTCAAATTCACTGTCAGCCGTTTTAGCTTCTTCTTTGTCTTTCTAAAACACACATGCACCTACAATTCTAATTTTACTGACCTTATTACCAGGGCGAGATGAGATATGGATCTGCAGACCTTACTGCTTGAAAATAGTTCTTACTTGGCCTCACATTTTTTACTTCCATTTGAACCTTTCGACATTTTAGGCGGCTAATTAACTTGAATTTTTTAATAGAAGGGAAATGCTAACATGCTTATAGAGGAAGTGGTGACAGCTGTGTTGATGCTTCTCAAGCGTTTGTCGGTACACAACATGAAAACTAGCAGGGAAGATTACGACACTTCTGCAGGGGAACGGACGATCGATTAGCCTGCGTAGCAGGCGCCGAAAGGGGTAGGGGATAGGGAAGAAGGGAAAATGGGGAGGGGGATTGGGGAGAGGGAGAGGAGACTCCCTTCCCTTTTCCCTTTCTCCCTTCCCCCTCCCCCTCCCCTTTTGCGCCTGCCGCGCAGGCTAACAATCGACAATCAGGCCGAACCTCGTTCCCAGGTTCTCCCTCCTACCCGGAGGAGAGAACCCTGGGAACGAGGTTGAATCAGGCCTTGTCCACACGTATCCGGATACTTTGGAAAATGGACAGTCGAAAAAATCAGTACGCGTCCACACGTATATATAGTATTCTTTTTCAGTGTAGCTGTGACCCTGAGGAAGGTTAATTTTGTTAGCCGAAATATTGGCCTCAAATAAATCAGTCCTTTGCCCTATTGCCAGCCTTGCATTCATTTTTGTTTTATGTACGCTAGACTTCATATTTTTAAATATTAAGAAAGAAAAAAAGAATGAAAAACGAACAAACAAACAAACAAAACAAAGTACAATAAAAAACAAAAACAAAGCAAAATGCAATATGCGAAGAGGAAAGCCACAAACTGAACTTAAGTTAATTTTTCATTTTATTAATTAACGCATGAATTTCAACATAATGCCGAAGAAAAGAATACAGAAAAGTATGTCAAGAGGAAAGCTACAAACTAAACTTAAATTATTTCTTCATTTTATCAATTAGCGCATCACCTTCAACGTAGGAGACGTCGTATTCTAAAATTTTGCACAGTTTTTCTTTAATAGATATATACGATTGTGGGGAGCATGGGTGGGGCAGTGGTGAGAGCACTTGCCTCCCTGCAGTGTGGCCCGGATTCATTCTCGTCCCCAGAGCCACTCGGCTTAATTTGTAACCGACCAAGAAACGACGGGCTCTGGGGACGAGAATGGGCCCGGGTTGAAATCACGGCGTCAAAGCCACGCGTGGGTTGAGTTTGCCGTTGGTTCTCTTCCTTGCCCCGAGAGGTTTTTCACCGGATACTCCGGTTTTCCCCTCTCCTCAAAACCAACACTTCCAACCTTCCACTTGCCCCGAGAGGTTTTTCACCGGATACTCCGGTTTTCCCCTCTCCTCAAAACCAACACTTCCAACCCACGGACACGTTTAAACGAGTTCATAAAAACTTCTAAGTGCTTCGTAGCATATTACAATTTACAATTTATAATCCCTTGCAGAGCATGCGTAAAAGTAATTATAGCATAAGATGCATGACCTCCGTTTGCTTTGCGTCACCACACGACTAACGTTGCTGTCAAATTTTCATCAGGGTGACAAGGCGATCGTCACTTGTCGTTTCATCAATCAATTTCATCATCGTTGCGACTTCGAGATTTTGTCGGAAATACCCCCAGCGAATCAAATTACGATCGATATCGTTCGTAAATTATTCGACTGAAAGATGGGACACAACGACCACGTCCAACGCTGAGGCGCCTTAACTCAGTTGTTTTTAGTTTAACAGTGTAGAGATGGAGAATGAAAATGACGGACGATTTCACACGTTACGCGAAGACGAGCTGTGCCTTCAACAAAATCATTCAACATTTGTAGTCTCGAAAAACATTAGGTGATAGGAAGGAAGGGCTCGCTTTCTCGAAGGAAGCCAAAAAAGAAAGTAAACCAGCAAAGTAATCCTTACACCAAGAAGACAGAAAACATGAGAGAAAAAAAATTTAAGACAATATAGGAGAAAATATTGACTCATATAAATGTGATGGCAAACTTAATCCTGGTGAATACGAGAAATTTGTCAGGCAGTAACCAGACTGGAGACTCAGAAGCAAAAAAAATTATGGTCTCAGAAGTAACGCAATAGCAGTTTTAAGTGGCTTAAAAAGAAAACTGATGGTGTTTTATCCTTTTCTATGGCCATAGTAACCTATCGTGTCCTTAGAAAATGGCCATATATGATACTTATTTTTCATTATAAACCGATAAATAACCGTAATGCTTTCCTAGCAAGTCTGTTGGGAAAAGTTTGAAAATGTCTTTGAGGTGAGGCTAGAACTAAGTAAGAAAACTCTTTTTTTGTTGTTTTCGGGCAAGGAGATTGACCCAACTTTCAGTTCAGTACGACCTATCCAATAATAAACCGGACGTAAATTCTGTTGAGTTCAAAACTCGTTTTCATTTCAGGGACAGAAATTAAGCTTTTCGCAAGAGTTATTGTTAGAAATGTTATGTCTATTCAAGTTCAGATCACGTAGCGTAAATTATCACCGTCATATATTGGTAACAGCACCTGCTAACGGATTTGGAAGATAATAATTTCAGCCTTGTTATTGCGCTTCTCGCACGAATTACACGGAAAAAGCAATGAATTGACAATAATTCGAATTTTTGATTTCATACCAAAAAAGCGATAGTTTTGTCAAGTAAACAATGTATACTTCCATCGCTCTTATTATTGAAATTGCTTGATGCTGAAATTTTTGCACCTAATTAAGTATTCCAGTTTTTTAATGATTATAAGCATAGTATTCAGTGGTTACTGACACGATCGATTGCCAATTACCTGCTCTTCGTCTTCAAACGGTTTTGCGCCTTATCAAACATCAGCGATATTTGCAAAATGTTATTTATCAAGTGACCCCAACTGGGGTTATTTTGACCTGGTTAAATGTTTAAGTTTGATTCGATAATTTCATACAAGGCCCCGTGTTCAGTGAGGTTTTGTCCTGAAGCGTCAGTTACTAATTGAGAAAACAAAGGTTTTCTTTCTTAGAGAAAGGTGTTAATAGGATTTCAACCGGTCTTCGTCTTTTGGATTAACATACTGGAATACATAATACAATTTGAAGCGGCGAAGCTTTATTCTGTTGTCCGCAAATTTGTTTATATGAGTTAATAAATCCTCTATCTCCGAATAAATATTTCATTAAAGAACGCCGATTCGGCTTCATAGGCATGCGCAGTAAGCAAAAAGCAAAACACCTGGAAGTTATCCGGAACGAAGAAATTGTACATTACATGGCATAAATTGCAGACTACTCGTGCCAGAAGCTGGAGATTCAAAGAATTCGCCTTCGAATGGTTAACGAGCGTGCGTTGGGAATCAGGTTTTGTTTGGAATTAATCAGAAGAAGCTCGATGATATCTTATTAAACAACCGGAAGAAACAATCATGACTACAAGGCATGAAGATTGCTGGCTCTAAAGATGCGGTAAATATTCCGTTTTTGTCTTCAGAACGTTATTTTGATTTTAAAGCTTAAACAGGCACAACATCGTTATTTTGTAGAGCAGTAACATAACAGAGGCACAAAAAATGTAGGCGAATAAACAATTAACTGCAGACATAAGACAAGTTATTTGTGAATGTGATGCACATTGTTGTAGCTCGCAATAGCCTCACACTATAGTTTCATTTTAGGCCTTCGTTTTTCCAGCCAAAATATTCTCGGCGAATTTTGTCGTTAAAAGGACTTCCTCGGTTGATTGTCCGGCTACCAAACAATGTGAGATACTCTGGTAGCGATTTTTATTAGCCCGCGCCGATTACCCGATTAACATCTATTCGCTTTCATTCAAAACACCAACAAATTTTTTAAAAGAAGAAATAAGAAATAAAATTATGACTAAAATTGGACGAAATAACATTGTTTTGAATTCACTGAGTGTGATGACATACTGTGAAGTCCATAAAAGTATACGTATATTTAAATTTTTACTCCACAGATGCGACAGAAACTACCGGTGTCGCATAAGACAAGATTTGAAACTTAGTGCACTGTTTTTTTTTTTTTGTTTTTTTTTTTTTTTAATGAAACGTTCCTAAATATGCTTTGGTGATAAAAATTATACCAATGCTGAAATGGTAGCTATTTGTAAAAAAAAATACTATTTAGAAAATTGTGTTTATAACTAAAATTATACATGATTCAAACACTGGGCGACTAGATCACTTGGAAAGCCCAATCTGCATCAAACAATTGTTATTATATTCCTTCAATTCTTTATTCAGGAGTCCTCTGGGCCGATTCTAAAGAGCCCTCAGAACAATTTCATTACCAATTTTACATTTGCAGCGATCCCTAGTAAGGCTGATACATGTCTACAAAAAAGATAAGCCAATAATGTAAACATTGATAATTTTTTTTATTAATTGGCCAGCGATACACAATACTACCTTAACATAAAGTGCGTGTGTGTTTTTATTATCACTATCATTTTTAACTTCTCTAAATTTACGGAGAAACCGTTTCACTTTGAAGTTGCAAGCGGTTAAAAATATTTTAATGAATACAATCAAACTTCAGGCTTTGCTGTATAATTACCCTAACCCTAAAATAGTATTCTTTAAAAAAGATAGACCCCGAACCAGACCCACGACGGGACGAGACCACTTGTTTCCTTGCGAAATGACGTCTGAGAAACGAGCGCAGAAATTCATACTGATGGCGTGTCACTACCCCGATCTGGATAGTGCTTCTGATTGGTTGAAGCAAATTTTCCTCGCGGCATGACCAATCAGAAGCTCTACCCAGATCGGGGAAGTGACGTGTCATCAGTATGGAATTTCTGCACTCGTTTCTCAAATGTCATTTCGCGGGGAAACCATATTGATGGCGTTACGAAAGGTCGGCTGTTTTGTCAGGCAGATTTTATTTGCATTTGTAATTTTTCACAGGAGCAGAGAAGTTACAATGAAGCGAATCGTCTTGATTTGCTATGGATTATTCGTTACTATGACTTTAATGTCAAATGCATTGTTTGTCTCTTGGGACAAGAACGCCAATTTGACCAGAGATGACATTTTTATTGGTTTTCGACAAATTTACGTGCCTAAAGTATTTGGTTCGGTGACCCCAGCCTTCAGAAATCTCACCTCACATTCACTGGATGAGAGATGCAGCAAGGGGATGGCTCTCTCAATATCATGGAGCTTGCACGAGCCCTATTCAGGAGTCCTAGGTCCAAAAATTGGCAAGCAGCTTGGTTTTGCTGCACGCGGGATTTTTCCAAGTGAGTATGAGCCCTATCAAACAAAACATTCTTTAAATTTGTAGCTTTTTCCAGGCGTTCAGATGGTGGTGTGCAGCGCAAAGTCAGAGAGCGGGGAAAAAATAAGATGGAAGAGAGGGGAGGGAAGCCCCCCAGTCCTCCCTTCTCTGTTTTTCCTTCCACATCTCTTTGCGCCGTCCCCCAATCTAAACGCGTGGAACAGACTATCTAATTTGTGGATTTTGACACCAGATTTTCATCTAGGACCCTGGAAAAACTACGCCATTTCTAATGTTTAAGAGTATGAAAAATGGATACAGAAAAGAGAAAGATGATATTTCAGTTTGTGATATAACGTGGTGTGGGACAATCGGGAAAGTAACAATCATTTTCACGGCAAACGGTAAACGTCACTTTGTACCACGTGACCAAACTTTTTCCCTTTACTGCAGTATAGTCTATTATTTATTGTACATTTAGTCTGAATAAGTAGTTTTATATCAGGCTCATCCATAAGGAATTATTTCGCACGGTTTTGACAGCTCACGGCTAATGTTAGCCATCCATAACCCGAAATCTGACGTTTAGTTTTCAGGGGATCAGTTACTCTGGGTACCAGAGGTATTTTTCTTGCGTGCAGTGGGATTTATCGGTGTCGACATCAGGTCGACTACCTTCGGCCGAAGCCACGAGCCTTGACCCGCGATATAAAAAAAAAATTAACCCGGCTTGACCGACCTAAACCGGCAACTGCGCATGAAAAGTCTTTTTTCACCCAACCCCAGAATACCGGACAGGGGAATTCCATTCGTATCCTGCCAATGAAGACGTACTTCCAGTTGCCGCCTGTCTCCACCGGAAATAGTCTACGTTCGCGCAGGCTACACTTATACCAAGAACAACTCATAGTGCAGTCACCCAATGTTTGAGCGTTACCTTTCACTTCATTTTTCTCTCCATTAACAGATGTCGTTCAACAGATCGTTCGATATTGTTGCAATGGAAGTAAAATTGTCTATGGAAGATTCCTTAAAAGTATTCGAGAAGCAGAAGATCACTTTTCAGAACAGATGTACGACTTCACATTCCCCGTGTACGTATCAAAAATGGATAAAGATCTGTATAAAGATCAACCGTTCGTTACCGTGGTAGCAGCACCGCGAGTCATGCTTCTTGTGTATGACAGTCCTCAGGTAACGTGAAATACAGTAAGCCTTCTTTAGTACGGACTGCTTTAGCAACGACACAAGGGAGGGGGGCTTACCATTAGACATAACTGAGGGTCCAGAACAGCCCATTCGTAAAGAGGATTCCACTGTTTAAAGCAGAACTGTCCATTCGGAGCAGTCTTTTTCTAAATACTATGAACAGCATGGTTAGAGTTTTAGCGAAGACTCTAGAAAAAAGCCTGTTCGTTTTCACGATGACCATCCTGGCCGGCCAGTTCTGACTTTGGGTAAAACCAAAAGCGCTCTAAGTGTCCGTCTTAGAGAGGTTTCCCCCTACAGAGCCTAAGTGAGGGAAAACGACTGAGAAAGGGCAGAAACCAACTCAAAGTGACCGTTTTATGGTGAGGTGTCCGCTTAAAGGGAGTTGACTAGTGGTGAATCAGTGAATGCCATTTGTAAGTTAAACAAAGATCTTTTAAATAATGAGAAGGAAGAGTTTCAGGTTTCAAAAGGTTGTTTTCATTTTTCCAGGGGCAGTAACTGATTTATTGTCGAAATGTATTATTAATCATAACCTTTTTATGGCCGCTCACGATAAAGGACATTGCAAAACAGATTAGCACTTGTTCAGGCTGACGCGGCAAGGCCTGACCTGAGAACTAAACTGACAACATCTACCCATCTCGGCGACGCTTACGACGCACGCAAGCTAAATCCTCTCTATCCAATATTTAGATTAGCTTGGTTATTCCTACTGGCATTTAGGAACGCCCATCAAGTCTGCAAATAGAGCCTTTGTAGTTACCTACTAAATCCTACTGAAATAAGAGTTGTTAAAAATAAAAGAAAATGGGCACAAGGACCGAGTCTAAAAGAATTGAACCTTCTTGTTCCACAGAAAACAAGGACGCAAAATCTGGCTGATACGATATTTAATGCCTGGCCATTCTTGATATTTATATTGGCTGCCGCGGGAGCATCTGGAATGTCCGTCTGGTTATTGGTATGATAAAATTATACTGGACTAGATTATTTCGAAATAGAAATTCATAATCTAGGTATCCATTCTTCTAAGTCATTTAGAATCAATGATTTCTTTCAGTCTGCTTAAGATAGTGAAAATGCCGGACTTTGAGAAGGAGAAATAGTTGTCACTGGACCGGAATATGATGACGGAAAAATAGAGTTTACTTCTGAAACTTTTTCAGAAAGATTTAACAATCATGGGAACCGAAGGAAGGGATCAGAGGCCAAAATCAAAACTAAATCCACTTATGGCGTATGGAAAGCTCAAAATGCCTTTGTTGAGGTCTCGATTGGATTTTGGAAAGTTAAATAACTCAAAAGCCAAGTAGTAAAGTAATAATAAAGCTAAAATAGTCGCGAAAAAACCTTGGAATGTCACCGCACTAAATTAAATGCCTGATAATCAGTTTTCAATTGATTTGTTTCCTCGTAGGAATATGTCTTCTTCTCGTCAGAATTTTCTACCACATTCGTCCATGGAGCCTGGGACGGGTTTTGGTGGGCCGTTGTTACCATGACAACTGTCGGGTGAGTGATCTGATTCCCTACCGATTTCTTTAATTCTTGTTGCATATTTCCACATTTGTCTATTCTCACTCCGCAGCCAAATTATAACGCGTTTCCTCAATGATTTCATTATCATATTTTAGAAGTCAGATGAATCAAATTTCCAATTCTCAGTTTCTCTAGCTGTGCAACCCACTTTTGCCTCTACCAATGAACAACTGGACGACAATGATATGTCTATAAAGCGAGCGAAGATATTGCCCCACAAAAGCGCAGAATTTTACAGACGTTTGTATGGGGACAGTTCGTGCAACTCAACAATACAAACGCCTAAAAAATTCCGCGACTCTTGAAAGCTGTATCTTTGTTAGTTTTTAACAAATCACTTTCAAACTTGACGCATTTACTGATTTTAAGGCGCTCATTCCAGCCATGTTCACGGATTTTGGCTAACTGTTTCCAGTCAAAAGTTGAAAAAATCGTGTAAGGGTCTATTGCTGCAGTAAGTCATAAGTCATTCCTGGTAAACTACAATTTACATCCATTTTCACAATCCATGTTACTATTTTTACTCCGTAAGGTTCGTCTGGTAACTTTCTGTCATTGTCTGTTCTCTGGTACATGACAACCACCAAATATGACCTTCCTATGAAGTCTGTGTTTGCCTCTAAGGCAACTCAAACAGACTAAAATGATCATACAATTATTATGATGTCTCGGACCCAAAACCCTCTGCTTTTCAAAGACAGTGAGCTGCCTAAAATCTTTGTGCCCCCTAGTTTCCAAAGGCTTGCTAAGGCCCTGATTTGAAACACTTTAATTTTGTTTCTCACCACTATTGAACAATTTTATAAAAATTTCGTCGTTTCTTAGGTATGGTGACAGATCACCGAAATCTTTACCTGGGCGCCTCTTCTGTTTTATTTGGATAATCACTGGTATAAACATCATATCCATATTTACTGCGTTGGTAACCGCTACAGTGACGGCTTCGACTCGACCTTACTTTAATATTCATGGAGCAAAGGTAGTTTGAGTTCATCTTCCAGCAACTTTACTTTTGTTTAGGGCAATATAACACCAATCCAAAGTCAATTCCCATAGTACCTCAAAGGCCGGATTAAAGCTAAGGCTTTCAGCAATTAACTCGTCCCAGATCAACAGACATATAGATTCTAGTGGATCAGTATTTATTTTATGCTTATCAAGTGCAAAGAATAAGATCAAACTCTACTGCTTTACGTATCATCCGTTGCAGGTCGGGGCAGTTAATGGAAGCGAGGAGTTTCGTGTTGGTGTTAGCATCAACCTCGACATGAAAGGTACCACAGCTACTACGTTATGTTTTTTTTTCCTTTGCGAACATAAAGCGCACTAAGAGCCATTATGGCTCTTGAGTGGACTTACTGAATCTGGATAGCAAATGACTTGTACATCGCTGTTCCTGGATCAATTAATCAATTGACTAGTGACTTGAATAAATGATTGATGTAGCGCACATATGATGTTTTTGTGAGATTGGTGGGTACTCAGAACAGTGGGGTGGGGTGGGGAACCTGTGCTTCTTACCCATCCCTGAAGGGAGGTATAACCTCGTTCCCAGGTTCTTTCTCCTACTCTCGCTCCGTAGGGACGGGTAGGAGAGAACCCAGGGAACGAGGTTGGGGAGGTTCCCCTATATTCTCGCCAGTCCATATGTTCCCCATTAAAAGGTGCTTTTGAACTCTTTAATCTTGAATCATGTGCTTCTCGAAGACAATTATTATAATGAGATCAGAATTTAGCTCAAGGTGTGTGAATCAAATACCTAGGCTTGATTAATGAGTATACTGTAGCACTTGACATTCTTACATAGAAAATCCTCCAAGTACTGCCGAACTGCCGGGATGTTCGGCCCTCGAATCCCTGCCGTCATTAGACTCAACCAATTTTAACTTCCACTGGGTTTAATCAGACTGCGAAACAGCACATATTTTTGGGCAAGCGATGAAACGAGAGGCCTGGAATGAGGGTGAAAATGGAGAGTGAGACTCGGGAAAGATGACCTACGAGCGTACGGCAAGGCTTGCGCGCTTTGCACGAGAATCTTACGCCCAAACTTCCTGCCTTGAAAAATAGATTCTGAGAGGTAAAAAAGAACCGACTGTTTCGCAGTCAAGTGTTTAATGAGCTGTCCGTCAAATCACCCAATCCTACCCCTCGACAAAACTATTTAATATAACCATTACTGTTTCCTTTGGCCTTCACTGAGATTCTGGGGAAACAAAATTCACTGTTTCCCGTCGGCAGGAGCCATTATAGGGGCTATATCACGGTTACCGTCCGGGGATGTCTTGTTCATTTTCTAAATAATACCAATTACACTCCCTTATTCGCTATGAAGATTGGAAATTAATTGTGAATGAGAAGATCACCGCTTCGCATCACACAAATATGTCTCCCAAGCATTATTTCAAACGTTACAAAGAATAAGCAAGTTTTCAAAACCACCACTGCAATCCGTTTCATTCTTCTCCAAGTTTGTCCTTTCGCGCTTCCTTTTGTATTTTCTTCGAGTATGGTTTTTATACCTTCTTTTAACGTTTTGAACCGGGTAATTTGAATATTTCACTCAACTTGGTGGCAGTTACCACTATTTGAATTTACATAAATTTCCTGACACGGCTGCTTTAAGTTTTAAGTGTTTTACTTCTGTTAACAGCATTTGACACCCCTGCGAAGATGACCACAGCACTGATGGCTCAGGAGGTGGACGGAATTCTGATTGACAACTACGCATTGACAAGGTTTTCTAATTGGATGGAGAAGGAACCAATTCGTGTGGAACGCACTATTGAACATCCAATCACATACGGCCTAGTACTGCCCACAGGGTCACCAATCACTACTCAGTGCGTGCGACGATACATGACAAACTTCGACCATGAAATCTTTGACAATATCGCCAAACACCTCAAACCTGTTAAGGTAAGTATAAGCGTTTAAGGGTTTTTATATTCATTTTTCTTCTGAAAGAGGAGGCAATTGATCACAAGGAGGAGAAGTACAACATACACACCCATAAGTACCTAAAAGTGGCTCAGGGTAACCTAGAGAGACTAAGGGAATATATTCAGTGGTGTACAGAAAGTAATATGTAGCGAATTTGTTGTGAACTAGGACATAGCGAGTTCGACAAGTGGCGAAACCGGTTGTTACCCTACCACATTTTTGTTGTCTTCCCACCACCATCGCCGGCACCGGCACTTTTCACCTAACGGCTAACGATGAGCGTAAATCTAGGATTACTCCATTTACAGATAAATGGGGTTAGAGCTAACCAGACTTAAAAAAATTTCATTCGGCTGATTGTGATGTTCTCAGCTGTATCTTAACGTACATGATATTATTCATTCCTCGTCAGAGTAAGAATACTGAAAAGAACTATGCAGTGAAAGAAGCAGAAGGCCTTTTCTATCAAGAACATCTCTTTAGCAGCGTGGTCAGGATTGGTGTTGGTGTTGTGTCTGGTCTTGTGTTCATTGGGCTTGTGTGGGAATTTTCATGTCGAAGACGCAAACACGGTAAGTTCTGTGTGAGGTAACGAAAATGTGTTGTCTGAACGAACAAGACTATGGATTGATCAATTGGCAAACTATTTCAAAGGCCTTTTTCCAACTGGAGTCTTATGGTTACATTTCCGCCTTGGTGTAACATAAGTACACACCGTTAACCCGAGTTGTTTTGTATAACGTGCTATGTATAAGATCCTATGGTATTAATCCGAGCAAAAGGTTTATGTTACTTGATCAAAGCTGTGGTCACTTTCCTCGTAATCATCAGCATTATCATTATCATTATAGTAACCACAACCCTCGCAATAGGCCCTTCTGTGTCACCGTATTTTCGCTATCTTAGTCATCATATTAATCACACTAAGTCTTACATCGTAATTTCCTCTTCTGCATTGCTATAACTGACATATGATTACCAGTCTGTATTTTCTTGCAGCCAAATCACAGTCAAAACAGCCTGTTACCAAGGAAACAGACACTGAAGTGACTCCTTTGACCAAGGATATAGGAAAGAAAGAAGAGCTTCTCTTTGAATACAACAAATTTCAAAAGCGCTGGATGGACCAGCTGTCAGACATGAAGAACCGCAAGCCATGATCATTGACTATTTTAACAGTTTCATGACAATTAAAACTGTAACCACAGTAAAAAGTTTTAGACTGTAAAGCATCTAGTGCGAGGTAAAACGAACCTGATACTAATGAGCAAAATCTATTGTTCTCGCTCATTCACCGTCAGAACACATGTGAAGTCAAACTCTTCCCCACGGCTTTTTCATTAAAAGTGGTAGTGCTTAGGAAAATCCCTGGGGAGGAGGTTGACGTGAAGTTGGAAGTTTGACCCGGGTTACTTTTCACACTCAACTATTTTAATTTTAAAATTTGTTACTGAAGATTTTACTGATCCAGGTCTACTAAAGATCCGGCTGACCCTCACTGGTTTGTCGTTTTGGTTTTAATTTGATAAGTATTTCTGAAACTTTTCACAATCAATCTGGATGTTCCTGGTTCTGCTGAACCTCTGGCACAAAATTTCGTCCCAACTTTGACATAAGTTTCATTTTATAGTAGTCCGCTCAGTTCTTAATAATTCGTCCAAATGCAAGTAGAAGTAGCGAGGGTAATTTTTTTCTATTATATCTTTCCATAAAAAGATAATCAAGAATAACACCAGGGGGGAGGGGTGGTAAGGTGGAAGAGGTGTGGTAGTTGGGAGTGTAGTTGCTAGTTGTAGTTGCTAGTTTGCAATTTGCCTTTTTCTTTTTATTCAGAGTCATGCTTTTAACTTAATATCTTCTCTTATCCGAAATGGTCCCCGGCTTAAAAAAGCAAAATAAAGATATTAAATGAATAAAAGAAGCCAGGTACCTATAGAAACTACTTCTTACAGTACGCAGGTTTAGAACGCTAAAACATTGACCATTTCTTTTCACAACTTTGGACTCTTTTTTTTTTCCTTGTCATCGCCAGCAACAAGCGACAGTAAGTGATTTCAGAGCTGTAAAATAATGATGTCCTGCGTTTCAACGCCCTTTTAAGTCTGTTTAGGGTTCCAGGATAACTAGCCAAGAAGCAAGCTCTCCATTCGGAGATATCGTAAAGCTCACCCACGGGAGGCACGCGAGAGCCCTCTAGGTTTCGCTGCTCTCTCGCTCGCCGCTTGAAATGAATAACTAAAGAAAAATCTTGGATAGTGTAAACTTGAAATTGTTTGTCTCGACGTCTACGAAGTTGTAAAGTGTTTCTGACTACTTGCAATAATAGAATTATTGGTCTGTAAATGAAGTTAGTTATCATCTTTCCAATGTTTTCACTCGGCCCAGATGGCATGCCTATGCGCTTTATTGTACCGCTTCCAGAAAAAGAACTGCAGTAACTCATGTGCAAAAATGTTCATTCTCTAGGTGCATCAACATGTGCGTTTTTAGGGGAGCTCGTTTTTCTTCCTCCCCACAGAGGGAGGGCGCTGAACACTGGAGATTTCTGTTCTCCAACCACAACAGTGTTTTATGCCTGCACTTGACTTCGGTACTCGGCGTTGAAGTTTAAATATCGCCCTTAAATTCTCAAAAATGTAAGGGCCCAAACTTTCCGGCAAAGAAATGTATGCCAGCGGTCGGTGTTGCCCCCATGGCATACATTACTAACTATTACTTTATAAATACTGGCAACATGGGGGTCTTATCTTTTCTAAAGGTGGCAACTGATCTTTATGAACTTTTGCGTTCTTACTAAATTTAGTAGAATACATCGACCAGATCGACCTATGAAGACTCATTTTTGCGCTCTTGATTATTTGCAAAATTCCCTGCTCCTGGGTTCCAGTTTCCAACGTACAATAATCTCCCGCGATTCCCGGGTACAAAAACAGAGCTTTTTAATGATGGCGGACCTAGCAACATGAGGTAAGGGCTTGTAAGAGACAATTAAATCCGTTCTTGGAAGCATAAAATACTTATTTAGCTATTTTTTTTAAGATTTCAAAAGGGTTCTGACAGTAACCATTAAAATTATGAAAATCTGTTCGAATTTCCTTAAGATCATCCATTGACAATTACAATCACCTGAGTATCAAAAACACAGTGGTCGCGAAGGATCAGCGATTGTTCTTGTGTTAATTGCAGTCTCTGCTTTATTTAAAATGAATTTAATATGAGTTTTAATGAAGAGTAAAATCACGATCTGCTCTTCAAGCTTGCCATAAAAAAAATACTAGCTTGATTTTGATCTTGAACCAACACTCGACGATACTTTCGAATTGAAGACATTATTTACAGAGTGACTGTGTAAACGTCCTGGCAGGGTATTGTCTGAATTTATTTAAAAAAACTTCAGCGAGTTTTGTTTTGGAACTTAAGGCTCAGATTTTGAAATACCGCAATTCGTTCTTGATACATTGGGCAAATGAGGGTCAAATGGTAATTTTTGTTATTAATGGTGACCAGTACGTTTTGTTCGTTTCTGGGACACAGCTTTAGACTGTTTACACAGTAAGGAAATTTCTGATGACGCGGAAAGGAAAACCCAAACACCAAGTTCATCAGTATATTAACCTCTGCAGTGAGGAAGAGGGGTGTCTAAGGGTAAAACGACCAAAAGTCACCTAGGACCTGATTTAAAAAAAGAAATTTTTGGCAACTAGTTTGACTTCCCTTGATGGAAAAACACAAACAGAACTGGGGCACCCCGGAGAAATTAGTTCAAAACCACTTAAACATAGCATTGTTAAACGTATTTTAGTATTTAAACGGTAGATATAGGCATACTTTTATCCCCTAAAAATTTTTCATCTATTCGGAAGTCCTAGCTGAAAGTCTGGTGATCGGAAAATTTTAGGGGTCAAAACTTACCTTTTCGAAAATTTCAGCCAGAAAAAAGGCTCCCGAAAATTCTAGGTGACCTTTTCAGGGTAAAAATCCGTTAAAAATGGGCAATTATACCATTTTTTAGATGTTCGAAAATCCTAGGAGAGGCAGGCAAGCAAGAAATTTTACAACAAATGTTCCACAAATTCTAGATCTCAAATCGTCTTCCGAACAGATGTTTTCCGAAAATTGTCGTTGGGTGCCCCTGACAGAAGTGAAACTTAAAGACACACCAGATTTTTTTCCAAGATTTTTTATTCAGCTCTAGTTTTTTTTCAAGAGCCCAGATTTTGTGGGTTCTATTTGTGACCCCAAGATTGAGTTACCTCAAACATTAATATACCTGTTTTAACATTGTCTGTTCTCATGAAAATAATGTGTTATAAAGACAAGGTGGATATAGGTGGAAGAAAAGCTTATGAAATGCTGTGAGACGTTAAATATTTTCACATTTTTTGTTTTGTTTTGTTTTTTTGGGGGGGGTTGGGGAGGGGGAGTTCACAACCTTAAGAAATAAGTGCTTGGAAAAAAATGTACAGTTTCCTCTGAAGGTTACCTTAGTCATTACTAGTCAGTTTGTGGAGCATTCTGCAGCCACAGTAGGGAAAGGGGTAATTTTATTGTAACAGAATGATGCTGATTAATATGTTTTAAATCTCTGCATATGGTGTCACTTGTCAACTCCAGTATTTCGACTGGATGCAGATAGTAATAATTAATCAGGGAAGGATAGTGTTGTATTGAACTTTACTTGAACATAAATTCCTGAAAATCAGCGTTATAAATCCCTCAATAAACAGTCTTTCATAATCACAAAAATAGTGTTTTCAAAATATCAAAAACCTCTTTTATCATTCAATGCAAGTTTTTCGTCCTTTTCACTGGCTAAGAGCCAGCTACGTGACCTGCAAAAACTGCATACAAAGAATGATTTTCTCATGCACAATGTTTGGCTACAAATAATATTCTGCTCATGTGTAAATGAAACCATCCTTTTCTCCTTGGTGTGATCGCTCTTGCATGAAAATGGCAGATCACTTCGCTGACCTTTCAGAGTTTTAAAAACAAACTCAGTGATCAAATGGTAACACAATTATAGAAATCAGTTATAGCCAAATATTGTGATTTGTCAGTGTCTCGCAGATCAATCATTGATCTTCCTGCCACTGAAAAATACCAATATTTTACTCAACCTCGTCCAATAATAATATTGTTAAATAATTTTGTAAATTTAACCCCTGCAAAAATTTTGTTGTACATGGTATGTGTTTGACTGTTAAGATGCTAAAGGTGTGTTAAATTGAATAATCTTGGCCCTCGGCTTACAGGAGGAATTAGAATAAGTAAAATGAAGATTTGGTTGGACAATGACGTCAATGCCAAGATTTGTAACCAAGATAGTTGGTGGAAAATTAGTAACTGTTCCAGAATACAGAGACTTCACATCTTCACGACAAAGTGGCTATAATTTGAATGCAACCTATCCATGGGGAAAGTATGACTCAGGGCTTGCAGGACACAAGATTGGAAGCAGGACGTACCCTGTGCTTCCTCCAATTTCTGATGGTAAGCTTTACTATTGTCTATGAGACAAGTCCAAAATCGCCTAGCCATAAACAAACTGTACAGGAATGTATTTTGATTAATTCAGTGATCATTCAAAAATGTAAGTTTCAAAAATTATGTTGGATTTTTTTAAAGTTGAAAAGCACTTAAAATAACACCATATTATTATTATTATTATTATTATTATTATTATTATTATTATTATTATTATTAATTTATCATTATTATTATTATTATTATTATTACTATTATTATTGAAATTTTGCACAGCTGATGATGTTACAGCTGGTTTCTTCTCTGGCTTTGGGTAACAAGTTGCCCAGGAAAGCCAAGGAACACCATCTGTTTGATTTCCTCTCCTCTACACCTTGTGCAACTTTCTTAAAATTCTTGCTGACCTAGCTTAATAGTGCACATTTCTGTATCACTTTCACAGAGATTTTTGCATCAATAACCTTCAGGTTGTTTTCCAGATTCATTGGTACTGATCCTAATGCCCCCATTACCACCAGAATCACCTCTGTCCTTACCTGCCACATTGTTCGAATTTCTCTTGCAAGATCTTGATACTTTTCAACTTTCTTATCTTCAGTTTCACTCACCCGTCCATCCTCTGGAAATGCCATATCTATAATTTGACAGCTCTTGTCTCTCTTGTTAATGATTACCACTATAAAATCCGGTCTCGGCCTGGCCCCAATTTTATTATTTATATTATTCTTATTTTAACTTTTTTCAATTTCAATTATCAGGTCAATCCAATAAACTGACTTCAGATAACCTTGCTCAAAGAATAAGGGAAGCTCTCATCAATGTCAGCGAACATAAGCTGAAGGCTGTGAAGCACAAATTTTATCTCCTGGATTCAGACCACTCAGGAAGAATAACAACTGAAGAGCTGCGTCAAGTGCTCCTTAGCTACCAAATATTTATTCTTGGTCCAACATTAAAAGAACTTGTCAAGAAGTTTGAAGTTGAAAGTGGAGGAGTTTTATATGAACCATTGACAAAATATTTGCTAGGTAAATTGTAATTTAATTACCTGAGCTGAACTTCTTTATGTCTAATGCAAGTACTACAGTTGCGTAACTGTTGAGAATTCTCCCATTACCCCCTAAAGTGTTTTATATCATATATGCAAATACGGGCTTTGGCTTTTATAAATTGACCTTCCCGAGAAAAAATGCAAAATTCTTTTGTTATGGCACTGATTAAGAGAGAAATTCTTTCCAGTTGTGAAGTCTTGTACACAATGTCTTGCAAGTGTAATCAGTTTTTGTTTTGCAAAAAAGATGCTTTCCAAAATATGGATTTTTCTCTTAAAATGTCAACTTAAGCCAAAAAAAATTGATACTATGTTTGTATTAAGATTTTCCAAGTTTCAGCCGTCAGGGGAACGGGTAAATAAAGTAAACTTCTTGATGTCACAACCATGTTTACAAACTCTCATGAAAACATGCCTCTCAGCCATTCAGAGCATGCATACTATCTTAGTTATTCTTTAAATCCTCCTACAAACTCCTGGACAGAACTTTCACTTTAAAGTTGTCACACTCAAAATGAATATACAACATTCAGTTTGTTTTAGCTCTATATTCAGTATTTAAATGTTGTCAGAGAACAGTCTCTTAAAGTCATAAACTGAGCAAATTATATATTTATTCACTTGTTGTGTTTGCAGACTGCCATCCATCAGCTAATGCATGGCAGGATAAAGGCAAGTTAAGTGCTGTTGGTTTGTCAAATCCAGTGCGCCAATACTGGCCAACAGACCAACAACAAAACTAATGATGCTCAACTGCTGCTTGAAGTGGAGAATCAACTAATCCAAGATGGAGGAAACTGGGATTACAATGAGCTGAAAACTTCATGTCAAAATTGCGACAGAGGGAGAACTGGCTTCATAGGGAACAAAGAGGTTTGTGGATTACATTACCAATTCTTTTTGTGTCATGTGTTCTCAAAAATAATACTCCTTCACACTCCATGAAGAGTCATTCCAAGTGTCTTAAAGGCCCAAATTTTGAATTAAAGTATGAGCATATAAACTATGTTTTTCCTCAGCAGGTGTGTAAACCAATGAAATCTCCTGTGGGGGAGTATAAATATTTTCTGGGTCAACACCTTGGGAAAAAAGTAAAATGCTACAAAATTATTCCTTTGGTACATGTAACCTAACGTATTGTTCAATTTTATTGTGATTTGATTTTTTTATTGATTACTTTGTTTTCATTAAATTTGTTTAGATGAAGATGTTGTGTAAACATCACAAACTTCCCCTCAGTCGATCACTGTTGGAAAGGCTGCTAGCAAGGTTTGATATAGATGGAGATGGTTGGGTCAGGTATGTGCAAGATACTGTTACTGTGCTCTAAAATGGTAATGCTTTTGCAATTTCCAGCTCAAGCGAAACTAACCTTACCTTAACTCTCAATCTGAGTCCACATCTCAGCCTAGCTACATCTTCGTTTCTTGAAGGTGCTGTAAAATCCTGCCATTCTTTTATAGCGGAGCTCTCGCGCGCGAAGCGCGCCAGCGGAGCACCATGGGTAAGAAAATGAAGTAATCTACCCATCCGAGAAAATTTGGTAATCACGTGACCGTACACCGCCCGCTCGATCGGCCCGAGAGACCGTCCGTCCGCACCACAGGCATACCAGTGTAAAATAACTCAATCAATAGGTATGGCAACCCAAATGCAACTCGAGGTTATTTTGGCGGGAAATCGCATAGCCACCGGCGTCTTGTAAAGCAGACACAACAAAAGAGTCAATAAAGACGAAAACGGAAGGCGGAAATTGTTTCTGTATCCGTCTTGTCTAAAGTATAGAGTGTTTTCACTCACGTGGCCAGCATCTATGCAAATTTATTAGAACAAAAGAAAGCGTTTGCATAAGAAAAGAGTTCAACTCCCAGAGGATTGGTTTGGGACACCAACATGGCCGCCGTTTCATTGTTTTGGGACACCAATATGGTTGCCTTGACGTCATGTGAAAACACTCTATTAAGCTTAGATAAATTGTCATGTCCACAAATTTGGAATATAGAGCAAGAGAAAGTGGGCGGCAGGCCAGCGAAGCTCAAGGGCGACAGGGATTTAGAACGAGAGATAAAAAACCGAAGGAGACACTTTTTTTGGTTGGAAGAACAACATGAAAGTTTTGTGGCGGCGGTGACAAAATGAGAAATGCTAGCGGCCACCAATGCAAGGTGAAAATGAACGGCAGTGAAAAAAAGAAAACGGGAATGTTATAATATTGTAATTTTCACGCCCTGTGTTGACTTTCATTTGCACGTGCTGCTAGACTCATTATATATTCAGTTTCGTTTGTACCTTCGGGCGCACTTGATAGAGATTAAATGTCTGTTCAGTAACCGCTTGAACGTGTGGTTCGCTGTGTTATTACAGGGAACACGTACGACATTTCCTCCATAAAACGTGTAACTAAGACGTTTCAGGAAGTTTCACGATGTAGGCGTCCAAAACAACGGCGAAGAAATGTACAAAAAAACTGTGCTGAACAATTAGCGTGTTGCACGTGCAAAGTTGCTTTTGCTAATTAGACCTGGTGTTGTTTTTCACCGTTTTCCGGCGTTGCATGCCTTCGCCGCTTAGCATTACACGATTTTTTATTTTGTTTGAACATACTATAAATATTATCGAGAGCTTCGCTTTTAGCCCTGGCTAAATCTATTTATTATAAGAATATATGCTAAGACTAAGACCCTGTTTACATGGAGTGGGGGACCCCGGTCTAGTGGGGTAAGTTTCTTTTGTTTTGTGTCCCCCAGAGCGTGAAAACAAAAGAAACCAACCCCACTAGACCGGGGTCCCCCACTCCATGTAAACAGGCCCTTAGATGTGTGTCCATCTCAGAGAGGTGTCCATCATACATGAAAGTGTCAGTAAAGAGAGAGTTTCAACCGTATTGTCAGTGCAAACGCCTTGTATTCAATGACTTTTATGAAATTATCTCGTTTTAGCTGGAGGGAATTGACAAGATTTCTTGAAAGAGCCCTTTCTGTCATTGCACTTGGAAGTTCCTTGAAGTCATCCCATGAAGGAAGAGTTTCAAACAGAAACAACAGACGAACAAGTGCAGCGACCTTAAATAAACAAATCAGCAACCAGACAATAAGTACTGAAACACAGACCAGCACAGGTAACACCTGTAATTAAACTACAAAATATTATAATTTATAACAGCTATCGATAAATATGATGTTAGTTCAAGGTGGCTTTCAGGGTGGTTTTCTATCAAAGTTTCCTACATTTTTGGTTGTGGAAGGTTCAGATGTCAGGATTTATCTACTAAAGACATGTAACTTAAAGCTACATAATATTAATTTCTTTACTCTAACCCATTTGCTTCAAGGCGAGTCGGTGCTAAAAGAGGGTTTAAATTTATTGTAACTCATTATTGGTTGCAGGTTGTTTTGAACACCCGTTTGGGGGAGGGGGGGGAGGGTTAACATTGCTGTTCTTTCCTGAGTAAAGGCCAGGCCAGCAATTTTATGAGCTCAATGGAGTTGCACATTGCAAGAAAAGGAAATTTTCTTTCAAAAATTAGCTTAACTTTTATTCAAACTAACCACTTCGAGAGAAACCGAGACCATATGTATAAATATTGGTTTTTTGATACTTGATAAACATTTATTCTTAATGTTTTTCTTGAGGATCTGCCTACGCTCAGCTGCTATGTCCTCTAATCCCCGATGATATCCGGACACCGCCAAGGAAAGAATCACTTAACCTCCAGTCTTAGTACTACATTAAATTTTGTTGCCATAATTAGTACTAGGGGGTACTCTATAAGACAACGAAAAGGCAATCATTTAATGCAGTGGTACTTAACAAATCGATAACAGTTGTCCATGTTCTATACTTTTATCGACCATAAGAAATGCCTTAAAATGCTCAAAACTATGTACTTAAGTTTTGAACATTTTGACGTCATTTCTGTGGTCGATAAGAGTGTAGATCGTGGAAAATTGTGGTCGATATGTTACAACTTTTAATGTGAGTGTTGCGAGCTTCTGTAAGTAACTGCCTGCCTCTTATAACGACGGCGACGTTAACAAGAATGGCAAAAAAAAGCACTGAATAGGTTTAGATTGCTCACAAAACAACAACTCTGCACTTGCATCACGCTTGTCTGTACATTTCCTTGACGTCACTGCACTACTATGACGTGAAAATACCCAATTTCACGTTTTGTGGAGGACGCGAACACAAGACAACGACTTTCTTTTTTCTTTTCCTGAACTTTGTTTGATACAGTCTTCAAGAATTCACCTGCAGAACTGAGTTGACGAACTGATTGAGATCGAGTAAGAGTGACAAAGTTTGAATCACTGAGCGCGACTTCACTTTTTTAGAGATATTTTCCTAGCCGTCGCCATTGTACTTAAGCTCTCTAATATGGAGCTGAAGCGAACAACGACGACGACGGGAGAGGAAACTTCACTTAAAATGTGCATTCGCGTTGTTTCAAACTTCATCGCTCTTATTCCATCTCGTTCACTTTTTCAATTGTTTGCGAACTTTTCTTGAGTTAAATTCTAAAGGTCTGTTTGTAAGTTTGGAAAAAGAGAAAGAAAATCGTCGGCTAGCTAGTGTTCACGTCGTCCATAAAATTAAAGTGAAATTACTTACGTCAAAGTTGTGCAGTGCCGCCAAAGAAATGTACAAAAAAGCGTGATAGAACGATTTTCGTATGACCTTGAAATGAAAACGCGCGAACAAAACAGAAACAACAAAAGAACGGAAATAGAGCGATTTGACTGGTTTATCGAACGGATACAAACGCAACTGGCTTTTGGTTGGTTAAGCGAACGCTCGGCTAAAAAAACTTCATGCCCGAAGAACTTTCTAGAAATCGCTTTGACGTCATACTGCAACACGATTGGTCAATCGAACAATGCCTTCTCCATATTAGGGTTTTCTTTGGCGGGAAAATGAAGAGTCGATGTTTTGTTCTTTTCAACCATTGGCTGACAAAACAACTAACGAACACTTACCGAAACCATTTTTCAAGGACATACGAAAATCGCTCTATAGGTGCAAAGTTGTTGTTTTGCTAACCTAAACCTATTGCTTTTTGCCGTTTTTGTTGCCGTCGCCGTCGTCGTTGCTTAAGCTCCCTAATCTAGTGGCCGCTTACGAAGAAGAGAACTGTTTCCGTAGGCGGTTTGCGCTGAAAAAGGACTCTTTTTCTTTCTCCCGATGGTGTCCGCTAATGCGAGAGCCGCTTTAACTCTTCTCTGTCTTAATAAGAATGTGTAATCAATTTGTGCAACAGATGATAACAGTGGCTTTATAGAAGGACATCGCTTTTTCGAACGCAGTAAAAGTTCATTAAAAAGGTCACCGCAAGCTAAAGGTATTATTTTAAACACTGCTGAGTAATCATAAAATAACCTGGTAAGAAGCACTAAGGCTGTAACAGCTCTTTCGTTAATCACTTAAAATTGACCAAACTATGTTCTATGTTTTTCCTGACAACATCTAAAAAAGAATATGCAAATGGACAAACGTACCCCAGCTTCGAGATCAATCAGTTCAGACAGAGGATTTTTAACACGTTAAATGAACGAATGATTATGGCTAATTTGAAACAACCTTCAAACAGGAAAAACTCCAGAACATCCTACACCCTGTTTATTGAAAAAAAGGTATGAAATAAGGACGGAGAAAAACCATAAAATATATAATATATTTGACAAGGTGATTAAATCCGGTTTAAATGTTAAAAAAAGAACATAAAAAAACGTAGTGACGTCTTGTACACTGGCTATAAAATATCTGACTTTATAAAACGTAGAAATAATAATAATAATAAAAAATTAACACAACGGATGACGAATCTAACCTGGCACTGATCACAATTAGTTTGATCATAAGTTTGTTCCTTCTTGAATCTCGTAATTCTTCTTCTGGCCTGCTACTTTTAATGGATTTGCAAGTCATCTGTCCACTTTTCACTCAGTTAAATTTCGCCATTAGTTTGAAGCCCTCTTTTGTTTTGCTGTCATCCAAACACTAAAAGCCCCATTCACACCAAAGCTTAAACATGTTTACCTGAAATGGTTCTTAGTTAAAGACGGTTAGAATTTGTTTTGTTTATCTAAGCTGCTTTCTGTACGTTTTTCAGTTGTAAATTTAGTGCCATTACACAACGAGGTAAAGTTCATTTGAATGCTGTGTTAAAGCCTGTGTTCTAGTTATCTGTTACTGTTTTTCACCTTCTACAACCTAGTTTCATTAAACATGTTTACTTCGTGTGAATGCGACATAATTTTGTGCTACACATTGTTGTCTCATCTAGTGACACTCTAGCCTGCGTGGCAGCCGTCGGCCGTCAAACGGGAAAAAGGGAGGGGGTTGGGGAGAGAGGGAAAGGGCTCCCTCTTCTTTCCCCCGCGCGCTTTTCTCCCCCCCCCGCTTATTTTTTGCTTCTGCCATGCAAGCTTAAGTCTTTCGTGAGGGAAGTGTTATTAACTCTGCTTCTCTTCCCCTAGAACCCGAACCTGTTAAACTTTCCCTGCGGCGGCGCAATATTTACGTATACCCCCCTGACGAGTACCTTGACAAGGATCTGTTACCTTACCCCCCAGAGGAACAGTTGCAGTTGGAGTGGGTGTAAGTCGTGACGGTAGTTGAGTAAAGCAATTACTTTTGTTAGTAGTGAGGCAAACAAGAGGACGTGTAAAGCTATAGAAAACAAACAAAATTGAATAGATGAGCAATAAACCACATAAATAACGGTAACTGGGGCTATCTCCGTTACCGGCTGGAAACACTGCCATTTTAATCGTGGAAACCCCAAGGAGACCCAACGCAACGAGGAGCGCTGGGTGACGAGAGAAATAGCGCCTGCTTGGGAGACTTCTTTCATCTAAATCCGCAGCAAATCACTGCGTGGCGGGAAAATGAGCACCGGCTAGTGCTTACCCTTTCTTTCTGATTGGCTGAGAAAGAGGCGAGGTATGTTTTCACCAATCAGATGGATGAACAATGGAAATAGAAATTGCTGAATTACTTTCTGTAAGTACTGTAAGAGTCTTACGCAACCACCAAGAAAAAAGGTTTTATAACTGAAGCAAAACAACACCTCTTGTGTAAACTTTTTGACGCTTTTTCGTTAATTCTGTTGGTATAAGGAAATTTGGCTACCTTTAAGAGATTCAAAATAGCAGATCTGGCACGGATTCACCAATCGTATCTCAGTACATTTAACAACTTTCTTGTTTTGCCTGTCGATATTTTAGGTATGGCTATCGTGGTCGAGACTGCCGTAATAATCTGCTAGTGCTCCGTTCCGGCGAAATTATTTACTTCACTGCAGCAGTAGTGGTCTTATATGACGTACAAGGTCACAAACAGCGGCACTACACTGAACACACAGATGATATCAAAAGGTAATGCTTTGTTACATTTGTTCTTTTATCCCAATACTCACTGCAAAATAAAATTTCATGTTTCTTCTTATCTTGACCGAACTTAAAAAAAGTTCCACCTTTCAATATTCATCACCGCGCTAGACAATTTGCTGATCCTCTGTGAAGCAGTATTCAAACTAGCGGTGATCTTTGAACTCAAGTTTCGGTGGGGGAGTAGACAGTAAAGCACCCAAAAATCGTCATTTTGTAAATTTGTCAAGCACATTATATATTGTAGGCTCGATTACCCGGCGCTGTTCGGGAAATGAGCCCGCGCTCCTTTCCCGAACAGACTTCGTCTCTTTTCGGGGAGAACCGAGCGAGCGGCGGAAATCGAGCATATATAAATTGTCTATCGTCAGGAATTCGATAAATCTATTTTTTGTCTTTTCCCTTCAGTTTGTGTGTACACCCTGATGGAGTTACAGTTGCTTCTGGTCAAGTAAAAGGTCATGGGGATGAAGCTAAGGTGATTGTATGCAGAGTCACACGTCCGAGCTTACGGTTAACATGTTACTAGGGAGCTTTAGTAACGACGACGGCGACGGCAACAAGAACGTCAAAAAAGTAATAGGTTGATGAAGCAAAACAACAACTTTTGCACGTGCATCATGCTTTTTTGTACATTTCTTTGCCGTCACTACACGACTACTGAAAATGTCTAATTTCACGTTGCAAAGGGGACGTTAACTAGCGACGACGAATTTTTCTTTCTCTTTGTAAACTTGAGTGCAGTCCCCAAAAACATCAACTCCGGCGAAATTCGCGACAAATTTTGGAAAAAACGCGAATTCAATTTTAAAATGCCGTTCTGACTCGCTGCCGGCACCGGCGTCGATGCTAAAGCTCCCTAATATATAGTGTAAAGAGGGGGCGTCTTGACATTACATGACATTGTTTTGGCAGATTCTCGTTCCTAGTGTTTAAGTATTTATTTCGCCAGACCATGCAGTTGAAGAATTTTGATTGTTAACTGACATAAAAACACAACTACTTGAACTAATAGCTGAGTGCGTTTCGTTTATTTCTCGTGTGTGAAATCTGACCACGTGAATATGTTTTGTTATAAAGTTTTAACAACTGATCGTGTTCGTAAGTACCCGTTATTCGTGTGCCATTGATAGGAGAGGGATTCAATTAAGTGACTTCACGAGTGGAGACAAACCATAGCAGTGTGCATCGACTCAAAGACCGTTTTAAAGGCCTGGGAAATTTTTCAAGTTGCAACTGATTATTTAAAATTCTATCCATTTCCAAACAAAGACTGCACGCTAACAAGCTAAAATGCAGCAATAATTTTACGTTTCTTTTTCTGCAAACGGAAGATTTTTTTCTTGGCTTATCAGTAAGACAAGGGGACAAGTAAAACCCACCCATGCAAATAGACATTAACACAGAAAATAGCAATATACCATTTAGATACTTTGCTTTCTCTCAAACAAATAATTGATCTGTTTCCTTGCATGCATCATCAGTGGATGGAATCATAACTAAGCCTATTTGCCTTCCTTTTGTCTTGATAGCCTCATATCAGAGTGTGGGATTCAGACTCATTAGAAACCATCTGTATCATTGGAGTGGACTACTTTGAAGATGCCGTCTTTGCACTGGCCTTCTCCAATAAGGTAAGTAAGTTTGTATTCGCTTTGGTCGACCTCATTTCGGATTTTAAAACCTGGGTTGCCTACCATTTACACAAACCATTCGGGTGGAAATCTTGAGCAGTATAACACTATAAAATTTGACGTGGTGGGAGAAGGACAAAGTATATCCTGACATGAACTTGAGAGGCTTAAAAGATGAGAAAAATTGCATCCCCACAAATCACAGCCCGTGTGATTTTCCAACCTGAATTTCCGGTCTTCTCAACTAAATGGTGGGACCGGTCACTCTTACCCTACCTTCATTCTCGTCCCCAGAGCCGGTTACAAATTAAGCCGAGTAGCTCTGGGGACGAGAATGCTCTACCTTTTGATCGATAAAAGTCCAGAGATGAAGACGTTGCATTACCGACTAGCATTTCAAGAGAATATAACACCTTCTTTGTCTTTTTGTCCATTTTTTATTTCAGAAAAGCCAGGGAGCATATCTTGCTTCGATTGAGGATAATGAATATCACACGTTGACCGTGTGGGACTGGACACGAAAGACAGGAAAGAAAAAAATTGCCTTTGCCAGGGTAGGCCCTCTACACTGCTCGTTCACATTCACGTATGAATCCTTTCATTGTTAAGGTCACTAATAAGGGTTACTTGCACGGCACAGATTCCTTTTCACAACTTATTAACAATAAAACTTTGTGATACGACGGATGTTACTGAAATTTTTCGGCAAATTGTGCGAGGCAAGATAGCGCAATGAGGCTTCTATAAGGATTTTGAGATTGAAATGTTTTCACTAAAAAGAGTTATCAAACTGTCGTTTAGAGGCGGCAACCCCCGGATAAATCATATCCAATGAAGACTGAGCATGTGGCAAACCCAAACTTGTGTTATCTGTCGCCCCATGTAAGGGAATGGGGACCTTACGATCCGACAACGGCGACGTCCATGAAAATGTTCATGAAAACGTCGCTGAAAAATAGACTTCGCATCCTTTTAAACTATTTCGCGATTATCCCAAGTCACCCTGTTACCTAATAGAAGGGAATTTAGGTTGGAAGCGAAAAGAGGGAACCGCGCACGAGTTCAGACAGAGATGGTAAAATTTATCGCCTTGCCGTTCTCGTTCTCAAGTAAACCTAAAATTGGGCTATTTCACGTCGTAGTTGTGCAGGGACGGCAAAGAAATTGACAAAAAAGTGTGATGCACGTGCAAAGTTATTGTTTTGCTCATTACATAAGCGTATTGCTTTTTTTGAGGTTCCCATTACCGTCGCCGTCGTAGTTTCGTAAGGTCCCTAATGAGTCTGGATTCCACGTCGTGGATTCCAGATTCCAGGTACTGGATTCTGGGTTCTTTGTCAGTGGAACTTGGATTCCGGTTTGCAGTCTTACGTGGCATTCCGGATTCCTTGAGCTGAATTCCGGATTCCAAAGCCCCGGATTCTGGATTCCACAGGCAAAAATTTTCCAGATTGCGGAATCCGGATCTCTTATCCCTCACTACTGAGCTAGGACCAGCCTGATAAATACATAAGCAATGACCAATATTATGGATAGACGGTAATGTAGTAACATCCTAAAGCAATCCGCTTTGTCGTAAATTTGAAGGCTTTGTGTTTGTTACCAGGGTCACATGGATCAAGTTTTGGTGGTCGGCTTCTCTTTGTTCGACAGTCATCAGCTGGTCACTTGTGGTAAACAACACGTGACTTTCTGGGAATTAGAAGGCAACAAACTCAAACAGTCAAGAGGAAGACTTCGGGTAAAAACACTTGGTTTACATATTTATTAATTGTTTGCCTTACATTCATCAGGCTGCTGAAGAAGAATATTGTAGCATATAACTAATCTGATAATATGCTTATCTCAAGAAAGCCGGAAATGCAGCAATCTACGATAGCAGCCAGTTTCAATAAGAGACCGGGCCGCAATAACACAAAGTGATTAAGGGTTTTAATTTAAAACGTTCCTTGATAGAGCCAGTCTCAGTGAAGTCAAAGAGAAAATACTTTGCTTTTTTCAGTAAACTCAGCTATCCGGCAAGTCGGCTCAAACTTCAACATGATCTTCCGGGTTAGTGTAGTACTGGCCCCAGTTATTCCAAAGGTGGATGGCACTATTGACTGGACAGTGATTTATCCGGTGGATATCGCTATCCAGCTTTTGAACAGCTGGGGCATGGATAGGACTTTTCGGCAGTGCCTGACTTTTCAACAACCTCTGCGTTAGTCAACATCTGTGTCAAGAACAAGCTGCATATCGTCAGTTCGCTACGTGTCCCCACGTGTTGTTAATGGTGTTGTTTGTATTCTTGCTTCTCGTTATAGTTCTTTTTATCTCTTGTTACAGCAAAAGCACATACCAAAGTACGTTTCATGCATCGCCTTCGCCAGAAATGGTGACGTATATACTGGGGATACAGATGGTAGTATATGTGTATGGCCAGAAGGTTTGTGCTGCTATTACCACCTATATAAGAAGTTGAAACTCAAGCCACAATTGTAAAACCTCTTCACGAGCGTAAAGAGCGTAAAGAGCGTAAAGTAGAATAAAGTGGTGTTCGTAGTTTCGTTGCGAAGCCAAATATATTTTTTGACATGGAAATGGTTGTTTCCAAATGACACGGAACAACTTCAGTCTTTTTCTTTGGCTTACTAGACCACTTAATATCAAACACTTCATGATTTCTCCACGTTTCTTTCGTACCATTTTTTTTCATCAGAATCCAACCAAATAGCCGAAGATCTTGGGGTCAGGAACGCACACTCTGTGAGTACATACATACCAATTTTTCAAACCCATTTGTATTATTGTAAGAATATGTCATAGTACAGTCTCTCCACAGTGGCCACGCCGTCTTTTTTTGGCAGACAGTCCATACATTCACTCTTGTTTAAACCTCTCTACAACGGCCACTTTCTTCTGTCCCCTAGGTGGCTGTTGTGAAGAGGTTCAACTGTATTCTAATTTTCTCCATGTTTCTAGGAGTCAGTTTACACTCTTCTTGTCTTGCCTAATGGCGTACTGTTATCTGGGGGAGGGGGTGAGTCGACCGTGAGAGCCTGGAGAAGAGCACCCCAGTTGGTGCCCACGAATATTGAATTAAAAGTAAATGGCAGTTTTGTTCTATTTTTGTACTTTTTCATTGCAACAATTGATAATTAATTAATAATGAAGACGGTGCCTTTTCTTTCTTTTTTTCTGATCGTGTTGTAGATGCCCAGGGAAGTAAGCGGTATACGCTGTCTTGCTTTGGGGAGCGGAGACAGGCTTTTTATCGGTACTGTAGATAACAACATTTGGTGTACCTTTCTAAACGGGGATTTAGACTCGCCTCTTAAGGAGTCGGGGTCCAAACTTGTCAAGGTTATGGAGGTAAGTAGCACGTCGTTTGTGCATATCAACATTTTTTGTCTCCACTGTGGCAAATTTCAACCAAACAGTCAACTCTCTTTGACACTGACACCTTAGGGACCGACCGTGTCAGTCCAAGAGTGTCTCATAGAGAGTCAAATAAAGAGGGTGAAGAAAGGCAGGGACCAACCTGTGTCCGTTTACAGAGGCGTTCGCTAAGAGAGAGTCGACTGTATAGATTGTAGTGAAGTATAGGTTGTGTTGGAGTATCTAACGCAGATACGCGATACCCAAACCGCCATTTCATACATTACTTGAAACTTAGGGCACTTTCCATTTGTGAGAACCTGCCGGTCAGAAAGGTCCAGTTGTAAAGAGAATTCCACAATTCATCACGACTATCCAGTCAGATCAGCCAATTCTTTGATGGAATGTTCAGCGGTGGTGGGTTATAGGGAAAATTTCGAGAAAAAATACTAATATTTCATTTTCAAAATGACTGGCGGGTTAGTTATGACTTTTGAAAAGCGCCCTTAGACTGTCTGAAGCTTCATTACTCTCTTCTGTTGCAAAAAGGGATAACAGCTGTCAATTAAAACTGATTTTTTTTTCCATTTCTCCAAGGGCCACTGTCAAGGTTTACGAGGACTTGCAAGTCACCCCAGTTCCCAGACGTTTATCACTGGCGGAAGTGATAAAACAGTCCAACTGTGGAATGCCGCTGACCGCCGTACAGTGTGGAAAAACAATAAGTTGGTTAGTTTCGCACCAAAGTGGGAGTTATTTTAGTTACTGATTTTTTTACCATAATTTTAATGGACCATTCTATTAACGTTATTTCACGTCGGACTCTTCAGTTTCACCTTCTTTGTCAGTTAAGAACAAAACTATCTTACTGTCTCTTATTTCCAACTCTTGACTCGAAACTTGAGTCTACGGAAGAAAAACGTGGTCTTTGAAATGTAGACTAGTAAGCAGCAGCAAATTTTTCTTTCACCCGTTGCCCGCTGAGAAGAACGCATCCTAATCTCAGGTATCCAGATGCCAACAATGGAGGCCAAAACAAGTTGGGACAGCTGCGAAAAATAATACGCTGTCAAGTAATGCTGACGTACGACTCTGCTCCTGATGACAAATTTTTGATCGCTTGTAGGTTCATCCCTTCATTCTCCTACTCCCCTCCTCAGTAATGTTGCGCCCTATAAAATACTCATTTCTACGCATTTTGCTTAAAATTTAACATTGTTTGAGGTGGGAGGGAAGAGTTCGCTATTTTTACTAATATCACTGGAAAGGTCCCGTCCCAACACTTTTGACCTCCACTGTATTCGTGGTTATTTTCGTCGTAGTGTACCATTTTGGCGTCCACTGAATTACCGTTACGTCATGTGTGATAAACTGCCACCTCGCGTTATAAATGATCAGTTTATTACGGACTAGCCCTTGAAAAACAGCCGACATTTTGCGACGTCACCACTGGTTTCCCCGCGAAATGACGTCTGAGAAACAAGCGCAGAAATTACGTACTGATGAAGCATCACTACCCAGATCTGGGTAGTGCTTCTGATTGGTCGTGTCGCGAGAGAAGTTTGTTTCAACCAATCAGAAGCACTACTCAGATCTGGGTAGTGATACGTCATCAGTATGGAATTTCTGCACAGACGTCATTTCGCGGGGAAACCAGTGGGGGCGTCGGAAATGTCGGCTGTTTTCTCAGCCTAAAAACAGACGAGGACATTTCGTCATTAGTGATGGCCTTTAGCGTAAGAGTCATTTAAGAGGTTAATATTTTTCAGGGCTCAGCGATAAATGCAGCAGCATTTCATCCTGATGGTCGTTCCATTGCCTTAGGGTTCAAGAAAGGCGGGTAGGTACCTCATCCAACAGAGCTTATTACAGAAAGAAACTTGCTCTAAATCATAACAGGCTACAGCAAAGGGTCACGGGAAGGAAACGTTTCTTTGCACCTCCCAGGGTGACTTGCACGGTTCGAGAATTCGCTCCCAAGCTTGCCCTTTGATTGGCCGAAACCTTCTAAAACGCACCCAAGTGCAGGGCAGTATTGCACTGTATTGTGTTGTAATTTATGGTTAATTGGTAAATAAATCGCAGACAGCAATCTCGGAAGAAGTCTCCAAACGAGTCCTTCTAAGTTTGTAAAAGCATACGATCTTCTGCGTTAAGGGCTTCCGTCCAGTCGTACCCACCTACCCTTCCCCTAACAATAAACTAACCAAACGTTCACACTAACTTCTCACGTAGGGCAAAATGTTGGATTAGGGGAGGGATAGGTGGGCAGTTTCCCGTGTGGACATAGACTGCTCAAATATGCCCCCCTCTCTCTGTTCAGCCCCGCCCTTCAAACGTGCTTGAAATGAAATATGCTCCCGGGGGATATAATAGTGGACTTACGGTATTCAAAAATTCCCTGTGACTAAAGGCCGGAATAGCGGAATAGCCGCCACCCTGCTGTACTCAAATTTCTTATTTTTCCTTTACAGATGGATGTTGTTAAACTCATCAACTGGAGATGTCATTCTCGTACGAAGAACTGAGCCTCCAGAGAAAGTATCAGAAATTCAATTCTCACCAGGTATACACCTGCAAACATGCCAACAAAAGAAACAGTGTTCCTCTTTTATGCTTTTGATGATATGTTTGTTTTTGTTATTTGTTTATTAGCTCAAGGCCATTAATAGAAACTACTCTTACGTTTCAGATGGAACTCATATCGCTTTGGGCTGCCATGATAACGATATTTACGTTTATGAATTGCAAAACGAAGGGAAGTCGGTCTCGCTTAAAGCACGTTGCAAGGTTAGAAAGAACAATATAATGATACTAGCAAACTGATTACTATTTACAGTGTGGAGCTTGAACGATTTTCAGCTCTTTGATATGATAACAACAAATCTGGGAGAGCTTGCCGTGCTGCAGGGATAAAGCACCGCGGACACCATCGGAAACGCCTGACATCAGCTAGCCCTTTGTCGTTTGTGGTGTTGTTCCTCAAAAGTTTTTTTCTTTTTAGAAGAATAGAAAAATTCAAAAGATTCTTTTATGAGAGCAGCCTGGCAGGGGAAACTAAGGACGCTTATATTAAGTCAGTTTTGGCCGCCAAACCAGTCACTCTGAAAGTAAAATAGGCTTTTCGCTAAAACCCATCAATGCCGTGCGTGGCTTTTACGATTAGACTGGCCTGGCCGTTCAGTTCTGACTTATGGTAAGCACCCTTAGTCTCCCGGAGACTTCTTGAAGATTGTTCTTATTTTTTCACTTTTGTTGATATTTTTCTGCAGGCCCACAGCAGTTCTGTGACTCACTTAGACTGGTCAAAGGATGGAGAAAAACTTCAGAGTACTTCTACAGATTACGAATTACTGTTCTGTAAGTCCATAATTTTAAAGCTTATTCTGGCTCTTTACTACCTTCATGTTGCGCTGCCGCCAAGTTTATCTTGGCTCGACTTTATGAATAATGAAATATATTTCATATTTTCAAATGAGGGTCAGGAGCGTGAAAGGCCTTACTGAAACAATGAAAGCTTTGTTACTTCTAAGTCTGTGGACTTTTCATCCAATGGAATCTAAGTTTTTCCTAAACATGTTTAGTAAACCTCCTATCGACGCTGCTACGTCGAAAGATAATGGTCGCTGCTGACAGATCGGTTAAAAAATGAGCGGGCTTTTTGGAGAGGAGAGCTGCGAAATTTTGAGGACATATTTCAGTAACCTGGGAATCAGATGTTTTTCAGGGGGAAAAGGAAGAAAGAGAGAAACAGGAAGAAAGCTGAAGGATTGCTAAGAAATGAGCTTTCTTAGAAATCAGCTTTTCTTCGCCCTCCTTCGTTTAGGAAGGGAAGGCCTGATATTCAGGTTATTACGTCACTTCCGCTGTTCGAACAAAACCCCTACCATTAACTTATGAGGTGTGCATTACATCCCCAGGGGACCCCTACCTGGGAGAACAGATAACCCAGGCTTCGAGCTTGCGTAACACAGAGTGGGCCACACACAACTGTGTGCTAGGTTACCCAGTGATTGGTAAGTAGCAATTCAGTATTAGTCCTATGATGTCAATACCCTAGTTCCGTGATAGAACAAATATTTGCTGTTTATCAATGCTACTGCGGAGTTCCGATTTCAGTGCTGATACTTGTCCCATAAGATGTGCAGTCAACACTCTTTAAGGCGGATACTGGCACCAGGTGCCGTAGGTTTACATGGTCAACACATGCAAAACGATTTGTCTTGACGCTGTTGCGTAAGCTAATGACTTTCACTGGGTACTAATCAGTGATGCCGCACTCTGATTTCATAGTGATATGTGAATGATAAAGCTTAAAATGATGAACATGATTGGTAAAGGCCTAGTAGCGTCATTATAACGAATAAAAGCCACTTGGTGCTGAAAATAGCAAACAATAACTAGATTGACTTGATGCCATAATTGTAAGTAGCTTTTCTTTTAGGTAATAGTAATCTTGTTATCACTTCATCCAGAGGAAAAGTCCTTAATTGATCTTCCCTGATGGATCATTCACGACATAAAGCTGATCTCCAATTGCAAGTTTTGCTAAGCCGTTTAGTTTTTTTAATACTACATGTACTATTTCCTTGAAGGGATCTGGCCAGACGGAGCGGATGGTACAGATGTCAACTCAGTAAGTCGTTCCAACGGAAAACAATTACTTGCTACTGGTGACGACTTTGGTAACGTCAATCTGTTCAGATATCCCTGTGTTAGCGACAAGGTATGTACTTTGATTTTCTTAAATTTGCGTTTTCTGTCCCTTGGGTAGCAAGGACACGATTGTTTAATTCACCATGTATCATTCTAAAAGGCAATGGAAGAGCCTTTAGTGTATCAGGCATTCTATTCTCCAGTTACGCGCAAAGAAGATACGATATTTCTTCCTTTTCGCCTCTTCTTCACGCGAATGATCATCCTTTTTCACTCCCTACCCTCCCCTCCCCTTTCTCCCTACCAGTAACCCCTGATTAATTTCAGCCTCACATAACAAACTTCACCCGTAAATGTAGCCTACCAGTAAACTTTCTCTCGAGTGCCCGTTGGCTAAAACCAAAAAACATTACCTCTACTGTTAAGACTCGAGTGACCATCAGAAACTTTTACGTCTCTCTTTTTGCTGTTATTTATTTATTTATTTATTTATTTTACTTTTTAGGCGGAGCCAAGGGTCGCCAAAGGGCACAGTGCGCATGTCATGTGTGTGCGATTTCTATTCGACGACACCCGACTTATCAGCGTAGGTGGTCGAGACGCGAGTATTTTGCAATGGAAAGTCACCAAGTCTACTTAATTGGTCGACACAACAAATCTGCCCCGGGGCTGCTATCGCTTAGCGGGAAATTCAGATGGACATGGTGTAGAGTATATAATTATGTACTGTATACTGCACAACGACATCTGCAAAGTACGCCCTATTTTAAGACCGCGATTGACGCTGGCAGGCCACAAACCTCTTGGAAGGGAAATTCCACAGGCACAAACAAATGAGAGCCCCACCCACACGCATCCGGGTATTTTTTCCCGAGAAAAGTGAGATTTTTTCCTTCGTTTTAGCCTTCCGTCCACACGTAAACGGCGTCTTCGGGCGACAAAAAAGCAGGTTTCCGAACGCGTCCCCTGAGTGGAGTTTTTTGAAGACGCTGGCTTATCGTTTTTGTGTGGACGAACGAAAACAGGTTTTTTAGTACTATATGCTATCGTACTTCCATCGTTTTAGCGTTTTCGTGTGGATGGGCGAAAGCGATTTGAATACCTTACGTGTAGACGCGTACTTTTACGAAAACGGAGGAAAAAATCTCCGTTGTCAAAAATACCCGGATATATTTGGACAGGGCCTAATTTAGGCCAACTCGTTCTACAGTTTTTGAAGCTCTTCAGGTCGAAGCAACCATTAAATCAAAACTGACTAGATGAAAGGTCAAGACTGATAAAATTTTATTTTTTATTTTTTCAAGGAAGAGATTGATGTCGCTAAATTTCTTGAAATTAAGCTGCGGTTTATCCTTTGTTATGTGTTATAAAACTCGGAGGGAAAAAAAATATGTATACATGTATATATTTTTCTTTCTCTTTAAACACATCATTTTCTATTCATTCTAGCGTAGTTTTGGTCAAACTGCTCTCAATCTCGCAAAGCATGTTTCCAAACATCCTAGTCCCTGGGCGTTCCCTCTTGCCCCTGCGCGAAGTCTGGGAAAGGGTGGGCGTCATAGCTCACGGTAGAGTCCAGGTCCCAGTTGTTCAAAAGAAGGATAACGCTATCCATCAGGGGCCGGTTGCTCGAAGCCTGGTTAGCGCTAAGCGTTGGTTAAGAGGTATCAAAATGTATAGGTTTCCATGGTATTTAACGCTGGTTAGCACTAACCATGCTTCGAGCAACCCCGGCCAGATAAATCTCTATCCACTGGATAACGCAATTGGTTTTCCTAATACTAATCCTCTGGATAGTGATTTATCCGGTGGATAACGCTATCCATGTCTTGAACAACCGAGGCCAGGATTAACCGAGTCGAGAACGCCCAGGGACTAGGCTGCAGCGTAGGCGGATGTACGACTACAAATCTTATTTGTTGTCTGAAACACTGATGCCAAGAGTAGAAGACATTTGAATGAAGATAGGTGAAAAAGTATATATAAATGGTTTATGCAAAATAGCATGTTCATTCGTGTCCACAAGCGCATACTAAACTATACTACAACCAACACTGTACATAACGCACACATCATGACGTTTTGTGGGGAAAATGCATGGGCAAGTGTCTCATTACAGGTGGATGGCAGCACATTTAAGTGTTAAAATTAATTATACTAGACGTGTATTTTTTCATTCAGCAAATGTATGTTTATAATAGGTTATCATGATATTCGTACACAATAAATCATACTCGTTATTCAGGCACAGTGTGAAGCGAAAAGATAAGAGAGAGAGATAGAATGGCGTTTACTGCAAACGGCAAACGACTATTAATTTGTACCACGGGACCAAGACTCCCTTTACTTGTCGTTTACAGTTAACCACATGTACAAAAAAATAGTAGTTTCGCGCCAGTTTCATCCACAAAAATTAGTTTTCATAGTTTTTATCTGTTCGTTTTCTACTTTGTGAAATCGTCGTCTTGAATTTGACGTTTGCCGGTTACCGTAAATGCGATGCGAAATCTCTCTTTTGACGTATGACAGAGAAGTCGTTACATCACGTTGCCATAATAGCAAAATTTCTGTATGACGTCACTTACACGAAAGTGGATTCTATAATCTGCTAGCCTCCCCCGCAGACGTTCTTAGGGGTTCGGGGGGCAGAAACGCGTGACGAACCCCTGAAGGCGTCTGCGGGGGGAGGCTAAGCTATACTGCTGGACATAGTGGGCTGGTTAGCGCAGCGTTTAACAAAACAAAATGCTCACCAAACGATGAGACGTCCGGTAGCATCAAGATGTAGTCATGTCATCGAGATAGAACGGAGAAAACGATTTTGTAATAGGCAAACAGGATTGGAAGAAAGAGTTTTCAGATTACCTCTGAGTCTTTCTTTGGCTCGCAGGGTTAGAATAGACCAGGCAAGCCTTGGCAAAGCTTTTGTTGCTATTGGCTTAAGTATACAAAAAAGGGAAGATAATAAGATTCTAACGCATTTTATTCATAAGATTAACACACAAGGCTATATCAAACTTGTAAACAAGTTAAACCACATTTTTAAGAAAATGGCACATAATCAATCACATAATCTCATCTTAATGAGATTCCCCCGCTATTTATTCATGAGAAAATACAAAAGGCTATGACGTCATTGAAGTTACAGTATTCCTGCGCAAATAAATGAGATTTCTTCTCGAAAAAAACCGGATAATTCGGTCCCTATTATACTCAGGGGCGGACGGAGAATTTTTTGATAGAGGAGGCCTAAAGGTATAGTATATAGTGGCAATATATGATAGGACTGCGATAGGACTAATGATAGTCCCATCAGGACTGCGGCGCACTTTTCTAGGGAGTTTCGGGGGCATGCTCCACCGGGAAAATTTTTGAGATTAAAGTTCTCTGAGATGCAATCTAGTGCATTCTGGACGCTTAAATTTGGCAAATGCCTGGATTCCATATTGAACATGTAATGCTGAATATTTAATACACCACAGGTGTGGTTGTGGTCAAAGAAGTAATTAACACCCGCCTAAGCGACTGCGGCGAGAGCACAACCTCCCGTCAAAGGCGGCAACATTGTCTCCCTGAAAAATTGTCAAATCCAGTTCGTTTGAGACGAATATTTACTGCATGCATTCTGGGAGCTTTCGTCATTTGCGACTAAAAATGTAGGCTTCGAGCACAGATTCTTTTCTTATTAACAATGTTTATTAAAGAAAATATATTTAAGTAAGAAAGGTCGAAGTACCATCCGACAAACGTTTACAAAAGAAAAACAAATTCCCGGACAAAAGGGGGGGCCGGGGCCGCCTAAGCCCACCCCTAAATTCGCCCTTCATACTACTGCTCACTGTATTAAAGATTTTTAAAAAAATCTTGGACTCGTTATTTCAATGTGGGTAACATTAGACAATGAATGAAAGAAAGAAAACAATAACGCTATCTTGACCTATCTTGCCGATTCGGGATTTTCCGCGTTGGTCCGGATCCCGCGGGAAAAAGCCCTCTTTTCGGCCGCATAATAAAAGCTCCAAAAGCGCGATGTTATAAGATTTCCAGTGGTTCGGACAAGTTCCGTGAAGCCAATGGCGATCAAAGACCGCACCAAAACCTATCGAACCTGCGGCATCAGCAAGCTTCTTCGGTCAAGATGGCTGGATATTGGCTTCGCTCTTTTTTCCGTTTTTATTGACCGCAACATTTTCGCGGTCCCTAAAAACGCAGAAAAGAAATTGGCCAATATCAGGCTATTTTGACCTTATCTTGACCTCTCGCTTGGTCAGTAAAACATATTTAATAATAATACAGTAAAAACCTGCTAGTAAGGACCTGGTTTTTAAGAAACTGTTAGGCTACCATTTGCCAGTTAGGCCTCCTCAGTACATAAGCCTGTTTAGCCTAAAATTGAAAACGGGTTCTTATTTTCTAAATTCCTTTAAAAAATTCTGTACACCTGGCAGATAAGTCAACATCCAGGATCCCCTTTGGAGACATAGGAGCCTTATTACTCCAAGTGCAATGTATTTGGTATGCATATTTTATATCAAAGGAATAAGCTAAATCTTAGCTAAAATGTATTTTTGTCTTGATCAGAAAATAAGAACGTATGTAAAAACCTATATAGCCTACATTTGTGCTAATTATTTATGTAACAATTTATTTAGGCTAAATTGGGAAAATGCAAGTTCTTAATCGCGGGTTTTTACTGCACTGCCTAGCACTCACAGTCCTCCTTGACCTCGGACCAAATTCTCTCAGTTTTCGTTAAATGTTGTCAGATGGTACTAACTCTCTGCAGCGAACCCTACTACCTACTATGCTTATACTGGAATGGTTGCCGGTTTGGTATTGGCTAGCGTAGCATTTTCCACTCTGGCAAAAACCATAGGAAAGATCTCTTTATTTGCATTACATCCTTTACATCAAATTTCTTAGGCTTAACATAAGATAATAACATCAAGAAACATAAGGCCCGAAGATTTTAAGCAAGCTCCATTGAGCTTTTTGTAAAAAAACCTCTTGGAGATTCAAAAGATTTCCAGTGTAGATGAACTGAGCAATGAAGAGGTTGCTATGGTGATGAAGTACTTGTGGGCGATCGCAAGTATAGAATGGCGTCAAGCGTTTCAGGATCTTGTGATAAACCCTAGGGCTTATGTGCGCGTATTAGCCCGTGTATCCAATGTCGCAAGACAAAAGATAGAAGAATACGAAGGGGGAGGTGCACCCTGCACTGCCTCAATAAAAGAGCGCACTCCATCAAATTGTACGTGCCTTGGGTTTGCAATCTACACTACAATGTAAACCTCTCTTGACGGACTCCGCTCTCGATGGCAATAAATTCCATGACATTTGCGACATGGAGACCATTCTGCCAGAAACAGATATTCTGATAAATAACGCACATTTTCCATCATTCACAAACTGTCACTCAAAAAAGGCATTAAACAGTGCCTAGGAGGTCTGAAATGGAGTCAGATTACAAAAGAAAAACAAGAAAAGCAGGGGCGGATCGAGGATTTTATTTAGGAGGGGGTGCACTCGTCTCTTGCTCTACCTCAACACCAATAAACCACACAGTTTTTTTTTCTTTGCAGAATACCATTTGGATTAGAAAACCGCAGGTCATCTCGGGGGGGGGGGGGGTGCGCACCCCCTGCACCCTCCCCCTAGATCCGCCCCTGAAAAGGCTAAGTGTAAGCTTCAAAGCGATATTCAATGCACAGTTTATTAATTTAGTGAGCAAAGAATATTTCTCATACAACGTCTTATAACTTTCTTGCTCTATGAATAACTAATTAGCCCAGAAGGGTAGTGCTGTTCTCGGGTTCTTGGCATCCTAACTGGCATGAAACGCAGTCAGCACAGAAATAAGCATAAGAAAATACTAAATGCAAGCTTAAAACAAAAAATTTAAAGCACGCTTCGCTCAATTATGGAGAAACAGGATAATTCTCATACAACGCCTTATAATTGTTGCCGTATGAATAAT